CCTGGCAGGCGAGGGGGGTGGGGGGCGGCTCTGCCCCTCAGCAGGCCGCTGGGCCTGCTCTGTGTCTGGTCCCAGTTCCCTCTACTATCTATTTTATTTTTTTAAATGTGGTGCTGAGGATTGAATCCAGTGCCTCACACATGCTAGCCAAGTGCTCTGCCACTGAGCTACAAACCCAGTCCTCTTCCAATTCTCTTAATGGTTATTTTAATTATTAGGTAGTTAATTTTAATAACGATCAATGGACATTAATTATTTTTCTTTTATTATTAGCACTTTTAGTGTCCTGTTCTTTCCTCGGGCTACAAATATGTTCTTTCTTTTTCTAAGAACTTTATTATTTATTCCTTTGAGATTCAAGTTTTTGATCCATCCAAATTAATGGTGTGAGTCAGGGATCAAAACTCTTTTTATTTTCCTCATAAGAAATCTAAATGTTTCTGCATCACTTATTGTCAAGACTATTCTTTCCCTAACTCTGGTGGTATTCTATCATGATTCAGATGAACATAAATTAGTGGTTGATTTGTAATATCTCTTTTCTGGTCCAGTGACTTATTTATGCCATTATATAGGTTCTTACTTATTGTAGCTTTATAGTAAGTCTTAAAGACTGGTAGTATTAGTCTCGAACTTTATTTTCATTGTTTTAGGCTTACTGTTGAAGATCCTCTTCATTCCTTATAAATTGTAAAATAAACTAATAAAAATTCTGTACATATGAGCCCTAAATAAACAATTTAGATTCAATTTTAGTACTAGATAATTTAGTGAGAATTAGCTTCTTAGCAACCTGAAGCTTTCAATTCAAAGAAATGGTATATATCCCACATATGCCTTTTAATTTGTTTATATTTTATAAAGTTTCTCTTAGTAATATTTTATAGTTTCCTGGATAGAGGCCATGAATATAATTTAGTAGTGTTATACTTAAGATATTTTATGTTTTTTGATGAGATTATATATGTATGTTTTAAGTTTCAACATTTTCTAAGTTTCATCATTGAATTGTTTAAGGAAATTTTCTAATTGTACAATTGCCTTTTGTATATTAACCTTATGTCCAGCAACTTTTCTAAATCCACATATTATTTCTGAAAATTTTTTACATAGGTTATTCTGAAATTTTCTTGTACAACATCTGTCAACTTTAGATAGACACTTTTACTTCTTTCTTAATGTGGTACTACTTATGACTTCTTTGTGTTGTCCTATATTGTTTATAAGCTCCAGTATACTGAGTAGAATTGGTGATGGTCAATGTAATCATCGTGATCTTAACTTCCAAGGGAAAGCATTTAATAATTCACAACCACACATAATGTTTACTAGAATTTTTGAAATTATTTCATATTTTTAAAAAAATACGGAGGACATTTTTAGAACACAAATTTTCATTATTTGATTGACTAGTGCTCACAGAATAAAATTTATAGTCTTTATATATGCCTATGTGCCAAGCACCATGATTCCATCACAAATGGTTTGTATTTTTGAGATTAGACATGCATAGAACATTTACTTAAAAAAATTTGTTTGAATTTTTTAATATTTATTTTTTAGTTTTTGGTGGACACAACATCTTTATTTTATTTTTATGTGATGCTGAGGATTGAACCCAGTGCCGTATGCATGCCAGGCAAGCATGCTACCGCTTGAGCCATATCCCCAGCCCCCCAAAAAATTTTTAAAAAACCTAACTAACCCTGTGAATTAGGGATTTATTCCTAGTAGATTGTTCATTTCCAACACTAAATGGGGTATTCCACCTTACTGTTTTTGTTGCCTGATATTTCATTCTAATAATTACCATGAAAGATATTAAACCCTAATTTGAAATTTGTCTATTAAATTCTAGGTTTGATTTATAAATGTACTACATAGGTGTTAAAAGTTTAAATGTTTCATTGGTATTTTATTGAAATTTATGATTTTATTTTTTATACCTAAAGACATGGATTGCCTTAATGAACTATTAAATCTTTCAGCTCTGGTTTATATATTAGTTTTTTGTAAAAAGGACAAGTAGTAATATGTATATAAATGTCTAGTCTTTTACAATTAGCTGAGCACTTTCATACTTCTTATTACATTTAAATCTCCATAGCAATCCCCTGAGCTATTAAGAACAGATATTATTATCCTCATTTTACATGTTGAAAAAAATCTGAGGCTTATAGAAGTTAAAGAACTTGTCCAAAGTCTCATGACAGATGATAGAGCTGATCCTTTTCTTGCTTTATTTTTCTTAACTACCCAGTGGAAATCTTGCAGAAATAGATGACAGAGAAACTGCACCAGTAAACTGGGTTGGAATGGAATAAGGAGGTATGCCTGATGCTAAATATGATGCAAATAACCAAGGACTGTAGACATAAAGAAAGTTGAGTAAATTCCAGGTGTCGGATTGCTTCTATATATTATGAGACTGCCAAACATAACCACACCTTTACTGGACTTAATTAAAATCAATTATAGAGAAGCACTCTGCTGCTAATTTAATTAATGTCTGAAACTACATGTTCATTCATTCCTATAATGGAAGAAATATAGGAGGTCTTAGAAAACCTCAATGCAGTCACATATTTTCATATTTTTATAATACATATCAAAAGGGGCTTCTAATTTGTTATTAGCAACCTCTACTGATAGTGTGGAAAAGATTAAAATTTCTAACCAGTGGAACTACTGGTTTACATTTTTCAACCATGTAGTATCTTAAACATTCCTGCCAAGTTTCAAAATTTATCCTTCTAATACACCTTGCGGTGTTAGCAAATTTCACACCAGTGATGGCATAGAGATAATTTGAAGAGTAGAGTGGAAATGCACACTTGCTGATTTCATGCCATTGCTTTTCTTTAAAAAAAAATTGAATGCAGAAAATTAGTAATTATTGCATGATAAATGAGGAACAAATTGAAGTGTGACTCTAGCTTGTGAAATCTTTGGTGCATACAACTTTGAACATGACATATCCAGGTTTGTAAATTTTTGCACCCCCAATTTAGTTATTCTGGCAACTGGCTTCCTTTAATCAGGCAATTTCTTAGAATTTTCTTTTGAATATTTGTGTATTTTTTTTTACTCTAACTGGTATCCAGATTTTTAAAGCTTTATAGTTTTATTTTTTTCTGTAATTTTATTTTATTTGTTTTCATTCCCCAATACTTGTTTTAGATTTTCCCTAAAGTAATGACTTGATCTCAGCAAAGTTTTCAGGTTGTAGAATTTTTATACAATAAGAATAATTTTATCTACATATAATAAAAGTGCTTCTCGTTGTTACTTTTCATAGTCATTAAATCTATTATGAAGTAACAGAATGGGTATAAGTGCTTTTGTCATTCCTGATAATTCTAATAGGGGAGTATGATATTTGCCAAGTTTGAACATCTTCATGAGCTATCTTTGGATCAGGCTGCCAACAATGAATTTGGGCAATTTTTCAGTTTCTTTGAATTTGTTATACTTGGGTAATTTTCAACCCATATCTGTTTTAATAGAAAAAAATCCTAGATAAATAGATACAGGGTGTTTGATCCTATTGATGTGTGAAAGTCCAAAGCACCTTTTTAAATCCAAAATCATATGCTGCCCTAGTACCATCATTTTGTTGTTGTTGAACACCAAACAGTTTTGAAATGTCACATCAGTTTTCGATCATTCATTAAAATTTGTCTCATGTGTTTCCTTGGGAAAAATGTTTTTATTTGGTTTTGTGTTCTGTTTTTTCATGATTACAGTATTCCATGTGCACCACTACTTATCTACTTCACCATCCACCATCCTCCTTGAGTTCTTGAACTCGTAAATAGGTTCCTTGACAATGCAGCAAGCTCAGTCAGTGGTTGGCCATTTGAAAGGAGGACATTGTATCTCTTCTTAATATTCTGAATCAGTGCATCATATAAATGCATTCTGAATAATGCATGTCTCCTACTTTAATTATTTGTTTAATTATCTTCAGTTTGTTTCAAAGCCTACAGCAACTGCTATTGCTTGGATGATTAGAAAATTGCTTCCAGTTGCAGAAATCTATTTCCTGTTGTTTCTTCTGGCAGTGATTGCAGACCGGCCTCCCCCAGTCATTCGACAAGGTCCTGTGAATCAGACCGTAGCTGTGGATGGTACTTTAGTCCTCAGCTGTGTGGCCACAGGCAGTCCAGTGCCCACAATTCTGTGGAGAAAGGATGGAATCCTTGTTTCAACCCAAGATTCCCGAATCAAACAGCTGGAGACAGGAGTGTTGCAGATCCGATATGCAAAGGTAACTTCCAATGACACACTGGACTTCCTGTTTTGTTCCACTTTGTTCTTGTCTCCAGAAACTTGTGTTGAGACCTCTTAGCATGATTGAAATATTAAGTGAAAGTATGAATATATTTTTTATTTGATGCTTCATTTTTTGCAGGCATTTTACTATATGCACTTGAGATGATTTGACTCATAATTTAGCCCATGGAAAGCAATTTTTTGTTTTATGGAGGAGGATAAAAAATAACTTAACCTGTTGAGGAAAGTAGATGGGAATTTGTGGGGAAAAAAATACCTTCTAAATAGTGGTATGATGCAGTCATTTCATAATGCATTTTCTAGGTTATATTCCAGTAACATTTTATGTGCAGTGTACTTAACAGTTCTTCTATTTTGAGTATTTGGTTCAAAATTTTGCAGTTCAAAAGCACTGTACATGCAAAGGAAGCTATAAAGCAATGCCTGATTTTTCAGGACTGTATTATTTGTTTTGATTTTCTTTTTCTTTTTTAGGTCAAGATCAGACAAGCTCCTTAAGTATATGATATATGAAAGAGTTAGTTTTGACAGCAGTAAACATAAATTTAAATAGCTTTATTACTTATTGTGGGTGGCTTCTTTGGAATTTTGAATCAGCATCACAGTTAATTTCTGAATGCCACAGAAGTTAATATGTTGTGCTTTTGTGTTACAACTGTTGTGACTTTGTTATTGCAATTGCCAGAGCAAGATGACAATGGTTTTGTTTTATCAAATGTTACTTGAAGATAGAATTATTAGAATAAGCAGAAGTACAGAGGTTTATTGGGCTGCTAATGATTTTAAAATTGAATGGGTGGTCTGTGTTTGTTTTTTGGCATTCCATCTTAAGAAGGGCGAGAGAGTGTTCATTCAGGCAGGAATTTGGCTTTATACTTCATAGACTGCCTTAAGTTTTCATTTAAAAAATTAGGGAAAATAAGAATGATTACTTTTTTAAAAATTATAAGAAAATATTTCATGCATATTCTTTTTCTGCAACATCTGTTTGTCTCAAATATCCATATAAGTGTTACAGTGATAAAATATGCAATAAGCCTTATTTTGTGACTTATTAATCATAGAGATATAATTTAACCATAAAGATTAGCCCTTTGATTTTGAAGAATTATATACCTTAGCAATTATTTATTGTCCCTGGTATTGATAGTAATGTCAATTATAAATTTTTAGTTAATGTAATTAATATTATATTCTATTATAATATGAGAATAATCATATAAATTTTTTTCCTGTCCTCGTGTAATGTTTTGGATTCAATAAAAATATGTTCGATTAAGGGAATGTTCCTACTTAGTGAATTTTAATGCAGTTATCCATATTCATGGACCATATACAAACCTGTAATTGCTTTTCCAGCCCAGTAAGCTCTTGATTGTTGCAAATATTTATCTTCTGTCTGCCTCTGCAGCTGGGTGACACTGGTCGGTACACCTGCATCGCATCGACCCCCAGTGGTGAGGCCACGTGGAGTGCTTACATTGAAGTCCAAGGTAAATTATTGTTTTTGCCTTAAAAAGAAGCTAAAAATGAAGTTAGTTGTTTACTTTATGGTAAATTGGTGAAGTAAACATCCTGTCCCTGAGTAGATGTGTGGATAAGTCATCTACATTTATATGCTTATCTGTACATGTATAAACAGGTTCCTTTTATCTCTTTCCCACTTGTTAGAATTTGGAGTTCCAGTTCAACCTCCGAGACCTACTGACCCAAATTTAATCCCTAGTGCCCCTTCAAAACCCGAAGTCACAGATGTCAGCAGAAACACAGTCACTTTATCATGGCAACCAAATTTGAATTCAGGAGCAACTCCAACATCTTATATTATAGAAGCCTTCAGGTAGAGTGAAAAGGACGTTTTTTGGTTGTTCTTTTGTTTAAAAAAAATATGCATTTAATATGCATGTTCTAACTTCTGTATCTGTCCTTAGCCATGCATCTGGTAGCAGCTGGCAGACCGTAGCAGAGAATGTGAAAACAGAAACATTTGCCATTAAAGGACTCAAACCTAATGCAATTTACCTTTTCCTTGTGAGGGCAGCTAACGCTTATGGAATTAGTGATCCAAGCCAAATATCAGACCCGGTGAAAACACAAGGTAAATATTGATTTACTTAACTTGGTGACACCTACTTATCCTAGAGTTATAATTGTACAGGCACATCATTTGTACCAAATGCTAGGATTGTACATTTACACTCTGTTCAAAATTGCTTAACTAATTTTTTAAATACACAGACACAGTGTCCACAAACTTTATTATTTTCTGTTTTGGGAATAAGAAGGTAAGGTTGATAACAGAGAGAACTGTTTCTCATAAAAATACAAATCCTTAAGGCAAAAATATTACATGAATGTTTGTGTATTGTATTTAATTTGTTGATTTTTAAATATAGATATATGTGGATATAATATCTTAATCATAAGGTAATTGTATTTAACATTGAATATACTATTCATGTTTAAATTCAGTACTCATTACCTTCTGGGTAAATTTTCAGGATTTCTATCTTAATCAAGTCATACTTTTTCAAAATCACACAAATGTAGGAGATATTTGGGAACTTGTTCTTAATTCCTATGTCCAATCACCCTCCTACAGAGCATGGAAAAAATTTAGGTCATTATATTTGTTTGACTAGTCTTTCATTGTTGATTATGTCAGCCAAAATATTTGAGACTCTTCAGTGGAAAATACCTATAGATTGATCAAAGGTAGGTTGAAGAAATAGATAAAAAGAAAAAAAAGGACATGTTTAAGGCTGTTTCTAAGCTATTTAAGACTCAAAATTTGGTTCACTTGGACTGTTTTGGATATGGCTTTTACATTCTCTGAAGAGAAATTATTTTGTCTCTCAGTAGACAAATTATTATTACCTTTTACTCTCTTGCTCATTTTATTATTTTAGTGCTCTGATAGAGACTCTTATATTACATTGAAAAAAAGAATCATTTGAATTAACCTTTACCTTTCTTATAACCTAATGTCATTGCAATTAAATGTACTTGTTCTTATATTAACATGGAAAGATAATTCTTAGAAGTGGTAATTAGAAATGCAAAATTCTTTTTCCAACATAGAGGGGAATTGACATTTCTCTCATAAGTTAACATTTCCAAAGGAATAATCGCAAATTAGTTCTGATGAAAGAAACAAGTTATGTGCAAGGTGACTAAAAGACCAGAACAACTTTTCTCCTGGTTCAGAAGGGATCTGCACATTTTGTCTTTTCTAATGTGTGTATTAACAATCTTTATGGAAGGGATTCTGCCTCAGAATTCAAGAAAAAGCAAGCTGAGCTAAAGAACATGCCCACGTCTGTCTGTCTCTGGCTGTGTGAATTCAACACACCCAGATGCCTATATTTGCTGTTATGAGTCACCTCATCAGGAGCTTTAATACACTTGGAGCCCGCCCTGAGACAGTTTGAGGTTTTCAATATTGGATACGCATTTGTAAAGAATGCAGAAACTATGACAGCTGTAAAATGAATTTAAACTTTTGTCCCCAGTACAGGAGTCTCTATCCAGTGGACTCTAACCAAAAGTCATACTACTACTTCATCTGATTCTATCTTGCATTCATGTGAACGGTTTTATAATCTATACTGTCATTTGTAAGGGAGGAGGTAGTTAAAATTTTATCTGAATATTAATTTTTTTTTTAAAAAAAAAGAAAGTTTTAATCAACTTCCCTTTGTTTATGCATAGCTGGAGGAACAACCTAAGGGAAATGAATCTATGTCAACCAGAAACTGATATATGGGGAACAGGCACACATTTGGAAGTCAAAGACATTTTCATCTCAGCTCTTCAGTCTTGTAGCTCTGTGACATTGAGGCAGATAGGCAATCCTTCTGCATTTCAGTCTTTTTGCCTTTGGAATGGAACTAAATAAGTGCATTCTTCAGGACTGGACACAGACTGAATTAATCTCTATCAGAACAAATTAATCAACAAATAAGCATGCAGGATAAATTAAATCAATATATGAGCATAGATTTAATTTTTTTTAAAAAATGCCATAATTAGTTTTGTTTCTTTCAGTGTCCAGATTAAAAATAAAGTTCATAAAACTTGCAGCTATCATAAAACCAAGAAAGAGAGCTAGTCAGCCAAGTGAGAGAATCAGAATTAAATATATCTTGACAGACTGGAATGAAGAGCCAGCAATAACATGATTGAAATTAACAGAGCAAATTAAAGAGTCGGGTACTTGAACTGAGGTTTAAAAAATTAGCTATAAAAGGATAGTCTGAGAACTCTAGGCTTACAGGAATAGAAGTGTGTGCGTGTTGGTGCTCTGGGAGGTGGGCAGACTTAGTGTTTAGAGTCAACTCAAACACCTATCTGCAACCCCTGAGTGATGTAGCTGCCAAAAGAGCCAATGTTGTCTTTGCTGTAATCGCAGAATTGTTTCTGGATCAAGGCGTCATCTCTTTCACTGCGAACTGGTCAAATCACAAATGGAGTGATGTGTTTGCTGTGAGCACTGCATTTTCAGATGGACTTTTAAGAGAACACAGTGCAGGAGGCTGCATGGAAAGCCGAAGATCACTTCACAGAGGAAATGCAATGCTCTTGGCATGATTAGCCCCAAAACAAAGAAGTGTTAGAGGAAACATGACATCCTTTCCTTAATATTTTAGGAGACTGCCATGTGGTCAATAACATGCTTTTTTCTGACTCCAGGCCACAAGAAGGAACCAATGAGTGAAAATAATGGAGGCATGTTTTATTACTTAGTTCTTAGTCTGCTTTTGAGACACTATACAACCCAACTGAGGATCATAATCATAGTAGAAATCTTGGAAAGGACCTAAAAAAGAAAAAAAAAAAATTCCACCGGAGGTTACAGAATGTATAAGCTGTGAGGGAAAGGAAATCATGCAGAGAGTTCAGGGAAGATTTGTTGGCAATTGATTTCCAAGGGAACAGGCATAGTGTCTATAACCATTTGGGAAATATGGTTGCACAAGAGTCTTCCCCAAGTGGAGACACCAATGAATGAGCTGTAACCAAAAGTTAAATATGCATGGATACAGAGCACAGGTTTGTAGTATAGGAGTCAGGGAGACGGACCTGTGTCATATTGGAGTTAGCTCCTTGTCACCAAGGACAAGATTGGACTCTGCAAGGAGGAGGAGCTAAGAAACTGGCAGCCAGGGGTGGAATTGGGTGGATGGTGGTCATTGTTGGGATGGGGTGGCGCTCACCACTATTGCTATTATTCTACCTCCACATGTATAATCCTTGAAACATTCTTGAGCCCTATTATTTAAAGGAAATGTACACTTACCCAGAATGAAAGACAGTATATAGAGTATCCATAAGAAGATGACAGTTATTATAAATAGTGGGTGAATTCTAAACAATGCATAGAGGGATTCCAGTACCTGTGAAGCTGTAGGGATAGAGCAATATTAAGGTTTCCTGCCAGTCCAATTTTGAGTGTGGGGGAAAAGTCTTTCTGAATTATAAAATGTTTCTTTCAGGAGGAGAACAAGAAAAATAAAAGGATCAATTCATAAGCATTTCAAAATCACATTTTTAGGCATCACTTTCAATATTTCTTTCTAATATGAAATTTTCTAAAATAACATAAAAGACTGCCATTGCAAAAATGGCTAAACTTTGGGAATTTTTGAGATCGAGAACTCTTTATTAAGCATTCTTTACTGTGATACAATAACTAACCTAAATCATCATCAATTAAGATGATGTTAATAAGTGCTTTGCTCATGGATCTAATCAGATTTATTTTATTGGCCTTAGTAGTGCCTTCTGCATCCCATATTCCTGCCACTTCCTTATCCACCCTGCCTGCCTGGGAAGAGACCAGGGTTCTCTTATGAAATGTAGCTGCTGGGCTTCTTTCTGGGCTTGCTTCTGCTGCCCATGTTTCTCTGCTGTTCCTTGCCCAACTGTCTGCTAACAGGTCTGGTTGTTCTCCTCCTTGCTTAGTTGGGATCCTTCTGGAAGGTTATAACAGACTCAGAGAGGACTGCCTAGCCTCACTCTCAGCATGAACATGATCATGACATGGTGGGAGCAGCCCTTACACTTTACTATTTGCCATTGTCTTTTTGTTTCTTGCCCTCGGGCTCTCTGCAGGCCCTCTACTTGTTCTTCCCCTCCTCTTTCTCTGTATGTCCCTAGTCTTCTGATCCTAATGAAAAGGTTAAGTTTTTCTTATTTTGTTCTGTAGCACAGGTTGGCTTCCTAGGCCCAGTGAGTCTTCTTTTCTAAGAGTGGCTGTGATTGAAAGGTCTGGTTCACGCTGCTTTGCTTCAGTTCAGTAGCATGGTGAGGGGCCTGACCGGGTCTTCTTGAATCCTTGCAGATGTTCCACCGACGAGTCAGGGGGTGGACCATAAGCAGGTCCAGAGAGAACTGGGAAACGTCGTCCTACACCTCCACAATCCCACCATCCTTTCTTCCTCATCAATTGAAGTGCACTGGACAGTGAGTTGTTCTTGTAATATTTGATCTCAGTCTTAATAAGCAAGTGGCTTGTCTGAGATCATTATATATGTATGTATGTATATATATATATATATATATATATATATATATATATATATATAATATATATAAAAAATATATATATAAGATATAATTTAACTACCTGTTGATCACTTCTATGCCATGACAACTTTCTCATGTAACACATGACTGTCATTTACTATGGTAGCCATGCATGGACTTTTATCAATAAAAGCTTCTTATCTGTGTATATTTCTTTTTGTTTATATAATGAAATAATGAACTCTACCCCTCTCAGGGGACAAAACTCCAAAATATTAACTGTGAATTTGCAACTTATGATAGGCCGATTATCAAAGGATTTTTTTTTAATCTTAGAAATATTTCCAAGTAGTATTAAGTAGGCTTTTAAGATCAGGAAGTAGTAAAACACATGCCCTTGACCTTCACGTGTCTCTAGCTGATATATCTCAGAACTGCTATGACACTTCATATTTATTCATAAGGCACAGAAATTAATATCATCCTACAAAAGATAAAAGATTTTTTAAGTATTAACTTAGGTGAACTAGAAATACTCAGGGTGAAACCTGATAGAAAAAAAATGTGTTTTGTTGTACTTCATTTTTTATTATTTTGCAATAAGCAATAAAAAGCTATGAGTGATTGCATTTTTATTTTTGTCATTTTAATAGGTGGACCAACAGTCTCAGTATATTCAAGGATATAAAATTCTCTATCGGCCATCTGGAGCCAACCATGGTGAATCGGAGTGGTTAGTTTTTGAAGTGAGAACTCCAACCAAAAATAGTGTGGTTATCCCTGATCTCAGAAAGGGAGTCAACTATGAAATTAAGGCTCGCCCTTTTTTTAATGAATTTCAAGGAGCAGATAGCGAAATCAAGTTTGCCAAAACCTTAGAAGAAGGCAAGTATATGGAGTGTGTGATATCTGTGCACCGCAGTAGATTTGTTGGGCTTTTATTAACTTAGAGTTGTTAAAATGTTAAGAGTGTCTTGAATGTTTGACTGTCTTTTTTTTTTTTTAAATGGATTCTTTTTAGCTATACATGATAGTAGAATCCATTGTTTAACTGTCTTGATATTAAACATACTTTGTTAAGAAATTTTGTTTAAATAGAACAACTATTTTCTGTTAAACAGAAAGACCAAAATGCTGTAAGAGTTGACTTGCTTCGTTAGTGGCCTATACATAAAAAAAGTGCAAATGTGAACCTTGTGTTACTTAATGACATAGACAGGGTCTGTTGAATTACTCAGAACTCCAGTCCACATTCGAAGATGGACTCACTCTCAATTTGCTTGCCTTTCCACCACCCATTTATTGAATGTTACTTTGATTAATGATTTATAAAGAAGTTGAGTAACACCTGGGTTTTCCAGGACTTTCCAGAATGATCATTCTGTCCTTTTTCGTCCTCTATCTGGAAATCCCTCAGTTCTAGGCAAACCAGTATGACTGGTTACCATAAAACTAGAAATTAAAAAGTATTGTTTATGTAAATAGTTTTGTGTCACAACTACACTCCATAAAAACATTAATAATGTCTCCTAATATGTCCTTGCCACTTCTTGGATTAGTGATAGGTTGTGGTTAATATCCTGATTAGCATTCATTTTTTAAACTTTTCATGTTTTGGGGAAACAGGAAATAAGGGTTACAAAGCAGTACAAATAGAAGTCCTTTCATGTTTCATGGAGATAATCTATATAACTTTGATTATGGAAATTCACAATAACATCAGGTTGGTAAGGTTGAGGAAAAAAAGAAGTAATTTTGGACTATTAACATTTAAGTGGGTTACATCTTTGAATCATGCAGATATTGAATTTAAAATCCATATACTCCTTTTTAATTTTAAATATTAATTTTAATCAGTTCACTATTGATATTTACTTATATTAATTAATAAGTATTAATTATCTGCTTTTCAGTGTTCTGTAGCACACTTTAATATATCTGCTTTTTGAAATAATTTAATAGCACCAAGTGCCCCACCCCAAAGTGTAACTGTATCAAAGAATGATGGAAATGGAACAGCAATTCTTGTCAGCTGGCAGCCACCTCCAGAAGACACTCAAAATGGAATGGTTCAAGAATATAAGGTAATACACATATGCTAATTTACTGATGGACACCCTCTTCTACTCACAAGGCTAAATAAATTGTTTATAGATATTTGGCGCCATCTGCTGGTAAAACTACCAACATGTACAATTATTTATAGACCTGGTCTTGGATAGATTGTGGAATAACTTCTTTGCTAGAAAAGTTACTTAAAAAAAAAAAAAAAAAATGCTAGAGAGAGTCCAAATGGTTACAAAACTTACACATCCATCTAATTCTACAAAATCAACAGATTTAAATGGTAATAACATTTTCCTCTCTGAAAAATGCTTTAACATATTTTTCAGAATTGGATTGCACTATGGAATTGGCTATATAGAGAGTCACATTCTACCAGATTTTTTTCTTTTTAATTTAATTTAACTCTTTTACATCTTTGAAATTTTAGAAACTTTGAACAAAGTTGGAAAAATTATTTTGGTGTGTGTGGAAATCATATGTTTATATATCTCTTGTTTTTGTTTCAAAACAAAATATCATGTCTCAGGAAATAGTCCTTTATAAATTTCTGTATGTTTATATAAACTTTTAAAACATGTGTGTATTATCGGTTGATTTAATCCAGTGGTTCTGAATAATTATTTTTCCCTATGAAATAAAGCAGCTCTATTCAATAAATATGGACAATCTTAACATGGATTCATTTTAGGCAAATATTTTCCAGCATGCCAAGATGCATCAAAAACTGAGATGGAGACATGAGACTTAGCTGAAAGATTGTGTTTGAACTTATTAATAAATCTGTATTATAGGATGATCCTAATGTGCTGTCAAAATGGATAAATATAAATAGAAAATATATGTGTACATTTTTATGTGTACTTTTTCGACAGTTACATAAACTTACTACATACTAGAAGAATTTTAACTATAAAAGATGTACTTCTCTGCCGAGTGATCTGTATTTCTCTGATGTCTGAGTCATTTTTTAGTTAACTAGCTAAATGATGATACTTAGAATATTAATTTCTATATGTAAATATTCCAGACCATTGTTTAGGATGTGAAACTGATTTTATGAAGGTGATATGAAGTTATTGATTCATAACTGAGGTTAGAGTAGACACACCTTGATATGTGTCCATTGACAGGACATAGGACATATCTACCTTCACTAGTATAGGTCAGGGATTTTCAAGTATAGGCCAACAGCAGAATCACTGGCAGAACCATTTTCCAAGTACAGGTGCCTTGACACCACTCTCGGAGATTCCAATGCAGTTGATCTGACAGGTCCCTTACATGTGTATCCTGGTAAATCTCTCTAGGTAGTTCTGATGTGCATCCTTAGTTAAGACCCAAATGACGTCCATACATTCTTTTGAGTAGCAAATTTATTTGTTTGATAACTAAAAAACAATCTAAGCTTAATTTGGGGTATGATGTTTTATTTTAAAATTATTTTTAAATCAAATTGAAAAACTACATTTTGTGAAATTTAAGTATATCAATAGGGCTACTTTAAAATATATTTAAAATATGACTACAAATGCACTGTGGATGTTTCGAGATATTTTAAATAAGGCTTTTTCTAGTGTAACTGAGTTATTAGATGGTAAAAATATCCATACTTTTAAGTGCTTTCTCACAAGTTTCAAGGTTATTTCAATACTGGTGAGTGACAGGATGCTATGTTTCAGTCTGGAAAAATAGACTGTTACAGAAGATTTTTAAGGATTTAAAATGAGGTGATGTCTCAGCTCTCACGCAAAATTGTATAATGTAGGCATTTTCCCCTAAGAGTCAAAACTCATTTCTTTCCTCAAGAAATGTGAAAGGGTGGATTTCACTTAACTTCATGGTCAATTTAAAATAATAAAATGCCTTTCAGAACCTGATTGACTGGTACAAAATCAGTTTGTGGCTTCGGTTCAGCTGTGTAATGTAATTGGGGGGAAAAAGATTCACAAAGGAGTCTTTATTTCCAAATGGTCAGATCCTGATATAGTGTCTGACCATTCAGTGGCATTACACGATGAAACTATATTAAAATAATATTAAATTTCAAAGAACAAAATTAAAGGTTATTGACCAAATAGTAGAGGATGCTAGTGTTTTTAGATTAATTTAAAATCCCATTTCCTATTCCAGTGTGGACAGTAGTCCACTTGAAGCTAATCCTACATTTAGCTCTAGGATATCATAAGGAATATAGAGTGTTCTTCACTCCTGCATGGATTATTCTCTTATGGAAACTGAATCCAAATACAATTTCCTATCACAAATATCACTATAAAAGTTAATGAGGCATACTATAACTTTCTCATTATAGACTGTCTTTCTTGCACTTCGAGTATGTACTCTTATTCTTTATGATCTTATGGATGTTGTGAAAGACTAGTTAATATTCTCCTTTAACTATAATACCAGATTGCTAATTTATCTCATTGATAATAGTTCAGCGTACCAAAAGCTGAATAAAAGCCTAGGATGGTTTTTTCCTCCTGGAGTGCAGTTTTATTTTTAATAATCTTATTTATACATACTTCTTTGGATTATGCAGAAATTCACTCTCCTTTTAAATCAACCACTTCATGAGTTTGATATGAAATGTGATGTGACAGTGCCAGGTGATTCTATCCCAGGGAACTGTTGAAGTGTCAGACAGAGTTCCCTCCTCACCTTTGTCTCGTGAGGCCTGGTCATCAGGCACCACATCTATCACACAAATGTTGAATAATTTTATGCACATTGTTATTCTTTACCTGGATATGTATAACTTTTTGCAGAGTCCTGTTTTTCCTGACAAATAACCTCATGCTATTAAAATTTTTTTAAATATAAAAAATAAAAACCTAATGATATGCGATATGATGTAGATTGAGAGGAATGATTATCTTTAAGCAAAAGTTTGCAGACTCACCTTATACAATCCTTTAAGATATTTGAGAAAGTGTAACTATTACAATTCTCCAATAGGGAGCTATTACCAATACTGGGCTTGACTGGAAGAGTCTTCTCAGAGCTCCATCTTGGAGAAGAATGACTTTTTTGAAACCTTGTGTTGGTGGTTCATGAGGCATCTCAACTCTGTCAAGGTCTAAAGTCCATCTTCATCCTATGTTGATCTTTGCATTATCTTGGAAATTTTACCAGCTTGATTTTCATTATGTACTTCTTCCAGGTTTGGTGTCTGGGCAATGAAACCCGATACCATATAAACAAGACAGTAGATGGTTCTACCTTTTCTGTGGTTATTCCCTCCCTGGTTCCCGGGATCCGATACAGTGTGGAAGTGGCAGCCAGCACTGGCGCTGGACCTGGGGTGAAAAGTGAGCCTCAATTCATCCAGTTAGGTGAGTGTCCGAGCAGTCCAGTTTCACAGTTTGTCACTGTACTACTTGTCCTGCTTTGCTGTTTTTACATGTGTCTGAGCCACTATTAGAAGTTAATAGGATACAGAAGTGAGGCTTATAACTACAGTGGTGTTAGCTTCACTTAAAATACACTCAGTCGCACACAGTGTTATGCCTTGGTTACAAACAAGGCCACTTTCCAACAAAGACATTGTTAAGCAATTTTGTCCTTGTGTGAACATCATGGAGTGTAGTTACAAAACTAAGATACATGTGATGTCATTAGCCAGTATCATCCTATACAATAGTCAATAGAAATCATTCCTCGTTGATAGAAACGTTGTTATGTGAGGCATAACTGCAGGTATCTTATAACTAAACTAACCTTATCCAAATACACATTTTAGATGATAGTTCAAATAAAAGTTAGGTAATATTCAGTATCATCATAACTGTGTCCTGTGGAAATTTTTTCATTTATTTAAATAATTCTACTAATCAAGTCCAAGGACACTGCAGTGAATAGAGAAGTCATAGTGTGTTCTCATGAGACCCATAGTTACCTGGATTAAAAATCCAAAAATTCTTCCAGGCACAGCTTAAACCAGGTATTGGAAATGTATAGCAGTGTGCAATTTATATTTACATTTATTGTCTGTTTAAAGTTGTAATTGCTTTCTAGAAAAGAAGGAGATTCGTTGAGACGTCAGAGCACTGGAATGTTTCTATGCTAATTACTCAAATTTAAATACAATTTGTATTTCAAAAATTTTACATGAATTAAAAAAAACAGCAAACCTGACCTGGGTTTCATTACTAGAGATCACTATAGGCAAACTATTATGAACATACTATATGAATTAGTTAGTGATTGCTATTTACATGTAAACAAGCAACAACTGAAATGCCAATAAAACAATATTGCAACTAAGAAGTGCGGAGAAAAGGGTCAGATTTTAAGAGTTAATATTTAAATTAGGAAAGAGGCCAAGAAGTATACAGTCTGGTTTGTGTCTGTATATTGCAAATCAGAAGTTAAACATCAGTAATATTTTATGTCAGATGCAAATTATGAAAAAGGATCATTTGTAGCAATCTTTATGCTTCACAAATGAGTACATACTATTTTGGCATATTAATAAGTATGAATGACATCCTGGAATTATTTCATAATAAATTGACTTTGATTAACTCTATTGCAATACCTAAAGAACTTCATATTTATTTTGAAAATGTTGTTAATGTTCCATTGTTAAGACAATGCTAGCTGCTATAATGCATAAACTTGCAAAGTTTATATGACATAACACAGTAAAGTCTACTACAATTCCAGTTGTCCAGTAGGTCTCTGTTTCACCTAGTGTTTGTGGGTTGTAAGCTGAAGAGCCCTAATTTCTTAATGTGGGCTTCCAAGGTTGTCCCTGCACCAACAGAATGCAAGAAAGGAAATATATATTCTATGGGAGGTTTGAAATGATGCAGGCTAGAAAGATGCACATTACTCTTGCCTGATGTGATTATAAGAAGGTGAACGAGGACAGCACAAAATGAAAGCAGCGGCCAGGAGTTGCCTCCCAGCAGTCAATTATGAGAGGCCCATTCAAGCCTTCAGTGGGGCTTGCTGACTGTCAAAATCTGGGCCAGAATTTTATATTAATTTTTTTGGACTCTTTTTTTCCATGTTACACATTTTTAAATGATTATATAAAAACTTCTAAACAAAAATAGCTTCCTGATTTATTTCAAGCAATACAGGAAACTAGGAAAAATCATTTGATGCATCTGTTGCAATGTTATATAACATAGGGGGAAAAGTTCATATTGAAAAATTATAGCTGATATTCAAATATTTGTCCACTTTTTTTCAAATGTCAGCATTAGGTTATTAAAACTGAAATTAAAAGGTATGTCTTGAATGACCCTAGCCATTGTGGATACTGTTTACCTGTTTTTAGAACATATGATGTTTAGTCCTAGTTTTTGGAAGATGAATTGGAAAAAGAACCATATGTAATTTTATTATTTAAGATTGAAATCATGGGATTTAAGGGTCAAATTGATTTCCTTGAAATTATAAGTGGGTTCCAGTTTTCCAGATCTTAATATAGCCTCAGCTGCAGGGAGACAAAGCCTGAGGTAGAGAGGGGCTGCTTTAATTCATTAGTCACACTGCACTTTATTCTGTTAAGTCCATCTGGTTGCTCGCATGGAACCTCTCTGGGCTGTTTCCATAAAATCTGAAGCTACCCAACATAACCTTGCGCAAATAGGCATGAAGTCTATAAACCTAGCAGATACAAAGGATGTATTAGGAATAAAAAGAATAGGTTTGGTTGGTGAACTTTTAGAGGATGAAGTGCTTTTAGGATAACCAGAGATAAAAGGGTCTGGAACATGAAATAAAACTTTCAGTCAACAAACAGTTGAAGGCAGGTGACTGCTTGTGAAAATAAGGTTTTCAGCCTTGATCCTCCATAGTATGAAATCTGGAATCAAGAAAAAAAAAAGGAAATATCCTCCCCCCGCAACATATATACACACAACAGAAGGAATTCAGCATTTCACAGAGAAAGGCTGTTTCCATAGCTATTGAATGCTGCTGAATTTTTTCTGCCAATTATCATATTAAGATGCAATATCATTTAATAAGAAAACCTGTAGGAGTTTTTTTTCCCCAAGAACTGTTATCCCTATCGAATGAGTTATACTAATTATTTTTATGGAAAATATATTTTTGGATTGGAAAGAGTTCTATTTCAAAGCCGACTGTGTTATATTAGCAGATTGTATTTCTCTTGAATTTGGTCTGGAGATCTGTGAAGCAGCTATAAACCCACTTGACAGGGCTCCAAGGGATTTGGTTGTGGATGTTTACATGGAGCCCAAGGGAAACTCTTTTGTCCTGACGGAGAGCATAATGCCTAAGTATCCAACCCTGTGACTGGGCGTCCTTCTCACAGCAGACTGTTCAACCAGCAGATGCCCTTCTGGCTTTTTTAACCTGCCAAGATAGCTCATCTCTGGGAGAGCCCCAGCTGGGAGGAGAGCTCCTGCCAGGTGTGTTAATCAGATTCAACTCAGAGAGGTGAAGCAACAGAACACATGAACTAGCAGGAGTGGGTTACTCACAGATCCACAAGAGCAGAGGTGCTGACAAGGGCCAGGCAGAAGGCCCAGGGGCCAGTGAGCAGGGCCTGCAGGTGGGGAGACAGAGAGAGAGGACCTGTGGGCTGAGGGTTTTATTGGTGCTCAGGGTGTTGTTCTAGGAGGTTTCCTGCAGGGAGTTCTAATTGTTCTTAGAGAAAACTGGAAGGATTCCACGGGGTCATGCTGTGACTAAGAGTTGTCAATTCGGCATATCTGCAGTCCTTATGAGTGGGCTGATGAGTCAAGGAGGTGGTATCTCTGTGGCCCATGGGGAGGTGGTCACCAGGAGGCAGTTATATAAGGGTTATATATCTGCACTGACCATACTGAGGAATTGGGAGGAAGCAGAGAGCTGGCAACTCTGTATGGGTGACTAAACCCTTCTTTTAGTATTTAATCTTAGATTCAAAATGAATGCAGAAGCAACATAAAATTTAAAGAGTGTGGTACATGAATCTTTTCCAAGTTAAATGATTTAATAATTGTGAGAAAGCCCCAATCTTAATGAAATGCACAAGCCCCTTCTTATGTCATCAGATGTTGTGGGGGAAGAACATTAAGACTACAGACACCACTGGGAATTCTCCCCAGTGGGCAACCTCAGGACTAGCATCACAAGGTGTCTACAAAGTGACATACAGCTTTGATGGAAGAGCGACAGTCTTGCGTTTTCTACAAAGACTTTGCAGGCTGCTCTGTGTGACCTGAAGTAATGGCGGGCTTGAAAAATATCATTGTAGGCTTAAGACATAAATGTAAAATAAGCATATTTTATTAGCCATATATTCCATCAATTTTTAATTCTTGAATCAAAATATCTAACCGAGAATGTCTTTTTGACTATTCATAACACTTAATAATTCTTTTACATATTTAATGTTCTTTTCTTATATCTATTGCTGGTGATGGTTATTATTTTAAAAGAAAGATTATTCATAGTTCTTACAATGGTAACATTATCTTAATCTGTCATTGTGTTTTAATGATCTTTAATTTTATAGGACATTCTGACTGTGGGTTCAAATAATATGTTTCTAAGACAGTGAAGGATGTTGCAATATAATCTTGGGGAGGAGTATGCAAATACACACACAAGCACGCACACACACACCATTTTTCAATATCTAGCTTATAGAAAAAGTAAAATTTTATTATAAGCCTTTTTACAGCACATATTTGATGTTTCTGTAGAATTTTGAGAATTTTTCTACCTTTTCTATACATATAATATTCAGTACCTATTATTTATTTGTACAATTGCATTAAAGTATTCTTGGTTTTTGGGGGGGTTTTTTGCATTTTATGGTATTAACACTTTTATATTTATCTCAATTAGTGAGCACTGTTTCTCTGAAACTCAATCTAAACAGGATCCCACAAACTTGTAAAATAAAAAGAAAACAGAGTGCCACAGATCACACAAAATTACATCCATACTTCTTTTAAATTAAAATGAACGAATTTTACTAGTCATCTCATGAACTCATTCACTTCCCTGCAGTAATGCAGAATGAAAAAGAGAAATCATGGTCCAAAATTAACAAAATATAATGTCAGGTGTTTTACATCATATATATATTCTTACATCATCACACTGAGTCTTACACCCAACTCATCAGAAGATGGCCTTTCAGATTCTCATGGGAACCCCGTGTCACCTGAAGACCAGGTCAGCCTTGCTCAGCAGATTTCAGACGTGGTGAAGCAGCCAGCGTTCATCGCAGGAATCGGAGCAGCCTGCTGGATCATCCTCATGGTCTTCAGCATCTGGCTCTACCGACACAGGAAGAAGAGGAACGGACTTACTAGTACTTATGCGGGTATCAGGAAAGGTATTCGCTTTCTCAGGTTTTTCATATTTTAATATGTTTATGAAACTCTTAGTTTTAAACCTGACTCCACATGATTCACAGGGACACATATCCTACCTGTTAAATTGTTTCAATGTACAGCAATTCTCTAAAGTACTTTTATCATGATATCTGCATATGAACAACTCTCATGTGGCAGTACAACAGAGTTAATCAGTTTCTTAGGACCCAGATCCTTTCAAATATGTTTCACTAAGGTACATCTAGGCTTGGCTGTGATACTGTGGCCTTCTTCTCTTAGGCAATTATTTTATTACTTTATTTCTTGGGGGAAATTTGTAATCTCCCCGTCATAGGAATTATAAATTGGGGCTTTAAACTCACATAGTTTTAAGGGGATTGTTGTCCTTTGAGAAGCAACAAAAAGAGAGACTTCTTTGATTATTTCTAGAAGCAGTCCTTTCTTAGTGAATATGATCACATTATGAGGAGTGTCCTGCCTAGGGAGGGAAGAGTGTTAGTACTTTTCCATTCATAGACTTAAGATCCTGCAATCAAATGTCTTATACACTGTCCATTAATGATGATGATTTTGTTACATATGTCTTTATAATTTTAGAAAAAAAAAAGATTATTTGCTATTATTTACATTTTCAAAGATGGACTGACTATGCCAATATAATTCATAAATACCTTTGCTACATATCTTCAAGTCCTATGCATTGTTGACAATCTTAACATTTAGGCACATAATCCTGCTCCTTCCTTTCCCCCAAATATATCCACCAACTCTGGTCCTCATACCTGGGCTGTAGATAATGTGGCCTCCTAGTTTTCAGATTGTAGTCCCTTTTTATGTCTTTAGTTCAATAAAATGATTCATAATGTTGCATTTTACTCTCAAAAAATGTCATGGTTTGGATTGAAAATTACACATTCACCTTTGTTATAGAACCAACATAACAAAAAAGTTTTGCTTTGCTGCAAAGCAAATTTAAAGATAATTACCAAGAAATTAAGTCATCCCTTCCTTGACTGTTACTTATCCTTTCTTTTCCTAATTGTCTACATATTTCCTGAGAGAACATTTTCTGTGTATCTTGGACAGAGTATTTCTCTAATCACATGGTTAAGTTGGAATTTTCAAGACTAGGTAAAACTTGAATGTCGTTACACATTTATAAAACATTCTGTGTCAACAGTGTAGGATATTTGTGCTGTTCCTGGAGGTCTTGGGAAAAAAGAGTCAACAGAGATTCATCATCAATACTGTGAAATAAATCCATGTGCCTCCTGCCTGCGGCTCGGCAGCAGTCTCTTCATATGCATAGATTTGCCTTAGCATTATCACCCTGAAATATTTTTTGTTCAGATATGTGTCCTACCTAGACATGAAGCAAAATGTCAGTACCCCTGCCTGTGAAATGGAAAACAAGGGCTTAGAGGTTACTGAGAAGAGAGTAGTGCTCATTATGTATAGAAAGTAGAACAATGTCAGGCACATGTGTTACTAAATAGAACCTTTGACTGCAAATCCATGCAGAGACGGGGTTTATGAATGTGTGTGTTTGGTGGAGTGGGAAAGGGGCAGGATTCTGGGAGGAGACTAGGTTTAGAAATCTGATTTCAATGAGGAAAAGCAACTAACATTTAGATGTGAATTTTCTGTTCATCAGACTTGCCCCATTAACTCCATTTCATAAACAGCCAGTCAGTGAAATCCAGTGTTCCTTGTCATGATCAAGTGTCATAGCTGTGTGATTGTAACAGTTTAATGCTCTGTATTGTCTTGAAGTCTAAGAATGTGACATGAAAACTCTCCTTTCTGAAATGCTCCTTGTTCTTTACTAATGTCCTTTGAGCATGCTGACAAATGCCTATGTGATTTTTCTGTGGGACCTTTAAACTAATATCCTAGTCTTTTCAACTAGCTTCTGTTTAAGCAGAAATCATAGAACATAATTACAAATGTAATTGGATGAGCACTGATTCTGCTTTCCTCACTTCATCCTGTTGGCATTTTTTCAAAATTCTATTTCTATGCATTTTTTTAAAGTGCATTTTGAATATCTTAAATTTTACTATGCCAAACACAATGCCAGTGGTTTCAGGGAAATAGGAAGTAAAATATTTTGAATAAATGAAAAGAACCTCTTGACATAAAATATCAAGCCAGAGTGTGACTTTGGGTAATCATGAGCCTTTTTTTAGCATTTCCCGTTACATATAGCCATAGGTGTGACATCTGCTGGACACTGGGGGCTCCATCCACATACATCCACATATTACATCAGCACCACTCAGTACACAGAGTTCATTATATTTATTATTGGAAGCTCTGAAAGTTAAGTTGTTTTTTGGTGTGCTAGCAGCGAAAATTTCATTTAGGGCTGACTTTTTTTCATTTCTTCTTCAATTCCTCAAACTGGGGTTAGCAGTTAGCTATGAGAAGTAATGACAAGGACCTTTCATATTTCCCGTGTCCTTGTGATTGCAAATTAATGTTCAAGCACTCCACTCTTGCTTGAATAGCTTTAGTTTCAAATGTACCTTTTTTTTTCTTTTTATGAAGACTTGTTACTATGGCTCTGAATTTTTGAATGTAGCTAAATTACATTGACTCTCTGAAAAGATCTGACTGAAAGACAACACAATGGAATTCTTAAGACAGGGGCTGTTGTGCTGCAGAGGAAGGCCAGTGTATCAATTGGGTACACAGCATTAAGGTTTTTGTTGTTGTTCTTTCTAGTCTGCTCAGAGATGAAGTGGTTTGGTAAGAAGTGACAGTTGTAGAGGATGCTATGTGTTCCACTTTGCAAACCCGGAGCTCTAATCCTAAAGTAAATTTCTTATCATTGTTCAAATGTACAATGGAAAATACATTTTGGCAGCTTTTTTGATACATGATCGGTAATCAATATTCTAGTTTGTTTGTTGTAAAGATTTTTTTTTCCAGGCAAGCTTTAACCTTAAAGGGTGTAATGTGGATTTCCTTGCTTTTTCTTTTTCTTTTTTTTTTAATCCAGAGCAGCATTTACTTTAAATTAAGGGGAAAAGATTGGAAAATATGTCAGTCTCCTCCCTTTATGAAATGACATGCAAATTGCTCTGGTGTGATCCCACACCAGGAATAGAAGATAGGAAAAGTGGGGGAGGCCATGCTGCTACTTTTGAGGTCTGCAGTTCAATTTCAGGCATTATTGATTAGATTAAGATTTATAACTGCAGAGAGAGTGAAGGTTCTCAGAGGGGTGTTATTGTTCTATTGTTTAGCTTCTAGCGTGGCATTAGAAAAATGTTCAGCCTACTCAACCACGCTTCTAAATGTAAATTATGACACAGAAATCAAAGTTTAAAACTCCACACATTTTCTATCCGTTCAGAAATGTTTACAATGATAAAAATGTAGTGTTGTGCTGTTTGTGTAAGGCATCAGACTTACAGGACGTTTTGATTTTTATGATTCTCTTTGCTTTTCCTTCCTTCCTTTCTCCCTCCCTCCTTCCTTCCTTCCCTCCCTTCTTCCTCTTTCTTCTCCTTTCTTTTCTCCAATAATAAATACTTAAGTGCACCTATTAGTCCATTTAATAAGCATTTACTTTCAGATTCCTAGATAAGGTTCCAGCATACACCTGATAATACTTGTTTAAGAATCCATCATCCAGTGTTTGGAAATGATTAATAGCAGAGGATTCCTGTTTGTACTGGAGCCCATGAGCTAAATCTCTGTTGCTAAATGCAGGGTCATTCACAGGGTAACGCACAGTTCCCCTCCCAAGGTACTAGAATGTCAGACACTTCAAAATGGTACCTGTAGAGACAAGCTTCTTTTTCTAACCTCGTATTGGGTTTTATTCATATATCAGAGTTTCAGACCTACTGGCTTGGTTATTTACATTTGTTTTATGTTCAGCTGTCTGCTTGATTCATACTAATGTGATATGTTCCCTTTCTCTTCAGCTTAATAACTGGTTTATATTTTGTTTTGATTTTCAGTCCCGTCCTTTACCTTCACGCCAACAGGTATATATTTGCACTTACCCTCCTCCTATCCTTTGTTAGTTTGGCATGTGTTGTACTATTGTGTTTCTGGTTTTATCTCATTTTCAGCAGTAACTGGGGGGAAAGGACTTAAATGGAATACAATACTTCATTTACTCACGGCAGGCATGCATTTGAAGTAGAAATGGTTGGTGTTGCTTTTCATCCATCCAATGCATTTATTTATTCACCACTCCACGTTGCATCTTAGCCCTGTTTGCATGTATTTCCATTAAAAAGACACAGTGTTTCTAGCCTCAGCATGATTTAACATGCTAATCATCTTATTGATTATTTCATACTTGGCAATGCATTTTTCCCCCCTTAACTTAAGCTTTTAGGTTTTCCAACAAAAATTTCTCTGCCTTGTAATTCTCTGTCCATAGAATCAGTATTCTGAAAGGTAGCCAAAATACCCAGCACATGTGAAAGATAAAACTTTTCATTTTCCCCAAGTCTGAGTCCTCATATTCTGTTCTATTCAGTTTCTTTCAAAGTGGATCCTCTTCTTTCACATCACCTCTAGTAAAAGATGTACCTGTAGTTATGCCGCCTCAGTTTTAATCCAGTTATTGGAATCACTGGGAGCAGTTATCTCTCCCAAGCAGACTCCCAGTTTGGAGTTTTTCTAAGTAGCAGAACTTGGCAGCTTTAAAAAATACATTTCTTCTTAGAAAATGTGTCTGTATTTACAGAAAAGCTAATCTTCTTAACCCTTTGCCTAACTATGTGCAAATCTTTTTGTGGTACAGTTCTATTTTTATGCCCCAAATTTATTAAGCTGAGAAAGCTTTCAAAAGCATTAAACCATATTTTATGAAAATATAGTTATTAAAATATAATGAGTATGAGTTTCAAAAAGCCACAATAAGAAAAAATAGGTAAAAAAAAATGGTCACATCAATAGTCACAACTTTACGTCTTTGTCTTTGGAAGGGCTTAACATCTATTTTTTGTCTCACTGGTTCTCAATCTTCTGGGAAAATCTAGTAGGCTTTTGTAATATTTACCTACAAGGGCAAGACTTAAGATTATACCTACAGAATTATGAAGTGGTATGATCTAGTAAACTCAAAATAAAAATCTATGGGAATGCTAATGTACAAGTAAATATATAATAGTTACATTTAACAAGAATCTGCTGCAGTTTTACTGTTGCTTTTCTCAATCTTGTTAAGACTAAGAATGATGCATATTTAATTTAATAAGAATTTTAAATTATTAGCTGAATTAGAAACCTGCTGTGTCCTGTAAGGATTTTTACAATGTTACTGGGTAGGAAGGGAGAAAGAATCCCATTGTACAAAGATGCTCGTGAATGTAATAGCTTTTGGTATATAAACGTGTCTATTAATTGTTCCTTTTTTTTTTTAACATTCTAGTAACTTATCAGAGAGGAGGCGAAGCTGTGAGCAGTGGAGGGAGGTAATTATCTTCCTTGTTTTGTAGATCCTTGGGGGAATTTAAAATATTTCTTCTTGTCTTCCTCACCGATGCAAGTTTCATTGCTCCAAAGGTTTAACAACTTAAAGATAAAAAGTGTTCCAGTCTTTTGGAAAGAATCCATTCATCTGTGGTGTTGAACCAAGTCATTTACACAGAAATACAGTTCCTGATGGAGCTGTTGCACTTTAGACAGTGGCCACCAGAGGGAGTACGTTAACCAAGAAAAACAGATTGCTGATTTAGCAGATGATTAAAAGGAGTTAAAGTGATTAAGCTGTGGCATTTATGAAGATTAAGAAATATAGCTAGTTAACAGATACTATCAAAGAAAAAGTGCTCATTTGAAAACCTGCTGAACGCAGCAGTTGCTCAGAAGTTATAGGTTATGTTTGTTTGTTCTTGTTATGAATTCAGCTTAGTAGATACCTCCATTTGCAGGGAAATACATTCGAATAAAAAAAGAAATCTAGGTAGTTTGTTAACAAAGAACTTTTTCACCCTTTAACTAAAAATATCCTCAGTCCTATACTTATGATTTTGAGGTAATTATTATTCAGTGAACTTTAATATATTCACAGAGAAATCACAAATTAATGTGATAGGAGGCTTAAAGGGGCTGAAACAGGATGTAAATTACATGAGGCAAGTTCCAGGATTTTCCACAATAAGGTGAATTTTCTTTTTTTTTTCAAAAACAGTAGCACCTAGACATAAAGGGAGAAAACAATTCTAACCAAAACCAATTTATAATTCAAATTAAATTAGCTTATTAGAGTGCGCTTCTTCATATGGTTGGATAATCTGGTTAGCTACTGAGTAGTCAAAAAATGAGTAAGGTATTATTCCTGAATCCAAGGAATATACCTCCTAATAAGAAAATTACTAAACTTAATTTATGACAAAGAGTTATTTAAAATATATATATATATCTATCTATATAGATAGATAGATAGATAGATAGATAGATATAGATATAGATATAGATATAGATATAGATATATATTGACTGCCTTTAGCTGGTGCTGTACACATGTGGCAGTAAGCATTAATCTTTTCTTTCCTGGGTACTGCTAACTTCCTGCTTTCACAACTGTGAAACAAAGCCAGCCACCAAAAGACCCAAAAACTGGGGTGGTTTTCATGAGGAGTAAATCCACTTGATTGAGGGATTAAAGCAGAGCACATTTTTGCATCCAGGGGAATTCCATATAAGTCACAGTCCAGACATTCATGAAAGAGCTTCTGCCATAAGAACATTTTCCTGTGGGTAAATCTGGAATGCCTGATTGTTTAACTACCTCTCTCTGTGTCTATTCATGACTGTTGACTTCAGTTTTATTGGCACTAGCTCCTGTGCATGGGCATGTGTTCACATGCTTATACACACGTGCACACACATAAAATATTAACCTAGCTCCTTCTCTAAACAATTTACAACCCAGACAGACCAAATGGTCTCATGGAAGACAGTGGCAGGAATGCATAGGTGGGAAATGGTGGTTTCTAGGACAGGAATAAAGAATTGTAAAGTTCCTGAACTGTCTATTTAGAAAGCTCACTAACAAAGAATCATAGCGTTTTCAACTGAAAAACAGAATCCTGGCAGTGAAATTGATATATCTCAAATACTAACTAGAAATTATCATTTTCCTAAATGAATTGATAAAAGATGCTGGAATGTCACAGAGGCAATAATACTTAAATAAAAATTTTAGAGTCAGTGCTCAAAATGACAGTTATACCCACAATTTTAAATGTATTTATTCATTAACTATAATGGACACCGACTACAGGGCAGATACTGTGTTAGCTGCTTGGAATGCGTCAGTGAGCAAAGTGGATAAAATTCCTGATCTTGTGGGCATTTGATTATGGTGGGAGAGATGGAAGATGGATAATAAACATTTTTTAAAAGGTCAACTGTACTGTGTCAACAGTTGATAAGTACTGGGGTAAAAATCAAGTAGGATGAGAAAGAGAAGGTTCATTAAGAAGAGGCCTCTTTCCTAGCCATGATGAATCTGTGCGGGGGTGGGGAGGGGTTGCTAGGACCAAAATACCTAAAAGAACAACTTAAGGAGGAAAGTGTTTTGGCTCAGTCTCACAGGTCTCAAGCCCTGGTCCATTGACTTCATTTCTGCAGCTTTTTTTTTTTTAAATACATATTATGTGGTGCTGTGGATTGAACCTAGCACCTTGCATGTGCTAGGCAAGCACTCTACCACTGAACTACAACCCCAGTCCCCACTGACCTCATTTCTTTAGGCCCAAGCATCATGGTGTATGGCAGAGGAAAGCTGCTCAACTCTCAGCAGCTGGGAAGCAGAGAAGTGAGAGTTGAGGAAGGGCCAAGGACAAAATAACTCTTCCAGAGCCTGCCCCTGGTGATTACTTCCTCTGACTAGGTCTCACTTCCCAGTAGTCTGCTAAGCTCTCAATGTATTAATCCATCAAGTGGATTAATCCACTGATCAAATGAACTCAGCCACTGATGAGGTCGGAGCCCTCACCATCCAATCATTGCCTAAAAGCCCAACCTCTGAACCTTGCTTCGTGAGGACCAATCTTCAACACAAGAGCTTTTGGAGGACATTCCAGATCCAAACCATAACACTGAGTCTTGTGATCACTGGAAAAGAGAATGAATAGCAAATTCAATATCTGCTGTGGCTTTCCTCACCTCCAACCCCTGTCTTGGTTTCCTTCATTCATCACAAACTTCCTGGGTCCTCCCTGGACCTACCACCTCTCTTGGCTGATGCCACCTAAGCTAAGATCTGTTGATCATCCTCTTTTGCCTCCTGCAACCATTACTGTGTTCTATGGATCCTATTTTTTACCCCTCCACTATCACTGATATTCTTTCTTTTTAAGCACTTATTCTCCCTTGCCAAAACTAGGAGCTCCCAGCTGTCCTAAGTTCATCCAGTTTTATTAGCACTGTTGTCTACTAATTCTCTTTCCAGTGGAGGCAGAATAATCTTTGAAATCCATGCTAATTGTGTAAGTTCCTGAGCTGCTGAAAAATCCCACCTGCAGCAGAACTTGCCATGTTTAAAATATCAAGTCCAAACTTGGCATAGCATGTGAAGTCCACAAAGTCTTGGACTTTGCAGCCTCGTTTTTCACTTCTATGTGCTGTGCCCTATGATCCCTTGTGTCAGGTTATCTCCAGTATGTCAGTGTCCTGTATCCTTGCTACATGGACATTGCTAATACACAGGCTAACAATGTCTTCCCACCCATTATCCCTAGTTAGTGTATCAGATTTTACCTGCTGTACCCTCCACAAAATCTGTACTGTGCAACTATCACATTGTCTCCTACCCAGGAGGAGACAATGCATTCGCTTTTCTTTGTATCAAGAGTCACCAAATTATAGCTTTTGCACCGAGTCCACCCTGCCATCTGTTTTTGTAAATAAAGTTTTATAAGAATACAGACAGGCTCTCATTTGTTTGAGCTATAAAAGAAAAGTCAAGCGGTTACAACAGAAATTAAATGACCTGCAAAGATTTCAGTGGTTTCTATTTGGTCCTTTTACAGAGAGAGTTTGCCAACTTTGGTAGATAGAATTGCCTCTGACAAGAGAATATGAGATCCTGGATTATAGAAAATATGTGGTTTATTTATCAATAAGTTAATTTTTTGTAATGTAATAAATGTAGTTCAGTGAAGGACATCCGTAAATTCAAAAACTGTATGAACTTTCAGTCATTTAAAAGTTACCTAAGAAAAGAACAAATGAGTTATTTAATAAGTGAATGTCAGAAGACCTCAATTCAGTTCTTGATGACTTTAAGGAAATTATTTGGTGCTGGATTGTGTCCTCTAATAAATGAGGAGGTTGTCTGGAACTCTCTCCTAGTTCTCCAAACTGTCATTTAGTTATTCTCAGAAAAGAGAGAATAACATAACAGTAAGCCAAGAGAACTCTGGGCTCAACTTGAAAATGGCAAATGACCTTTGAGGTAATGCAGGAGAGAAACATAGAAATATTAAGGAGCTGTCTTTATTAATTTCTTTTCTTTCCCTGGAAAATTCCAGTTGCCTCTTCCAAAACCTCTGCTTAAAATTCAAACCACATTCAACCAGGAAAAATTAGAGAAAACTCCAAAAAGAGCAGTGAACAAGTGAAGATAACCTGGTGGAAAAGCCAGTACCACATTCCCTGTCAGTAAGAGGGAGGAAAGAAATGGAGCATCAGGTGAAGGTGCTCTTTAAACATTGGCCACTCATTCAGCCTGGCAGGGGGTCTACATGACCCACAGCTGACAATACTTTCCGTAAGGCCCCTCTGCCATATCCCCAGCTCTGGAACCCCATAGTCTTGTATTTTGTGGTTTGACAGTTTAAACAGGTTCTCTCAGAGTGAGTGATTGGAAGGTGTCAAGTAGCAGAGTAGGAATTAAAGGCAGTTGCCTCATAATTATTAGTGCACGTTTGCCCTCTTTTCCTTCATGGCGCAGGTCTATCCCCTTAATATGTGACATGATATAATGATGTGTTAGACACACGTTAACCACCGTAACCCACACGTGTTTTGCTTTTGCTTCATATTTGGCTGTAGTTTGATTGTCTGATGCATGCTGATGAGTTTTAAGGGATACAAAGAGCCTGTGAAGCTGTTACTTTGAAAGACTTCTCACGCCCTTGTCAGAGTAGCTGCCAATGACCTCACCTTCCTCCAAGACGTTGGACACACACACACACACACACACACAGCATTTTAAGATTCATCATGGGACAGTGAACATGGCTTACCTTTTTCCTTAAATAATTAGCATTCCAAACTCAAGTCTAAACAGAAAGCAGGATGTGAGTTGTTAATCCTACTTCCTGTTGGAAATCACCCATCTATATGAAAAGTTCTCTAAGCCAGTGATGCTATCAAAGCATTCACTAGAAAAATATTAACACTCCCCCCAACCACACACACACACACAAAGGGAGTCATAGTAGCATGAAAATATTGTCTCTTTCTATTAAAACATATAAGTTGAGCTGTGGAGAATTTCTACTTGACCTCTGCTGCAGACATAGCATCATCTCTGCAGTGTCAAAAATGGGAGTTTTATTTTGAATAACTTTGACAGTGATGCATTTATGGTTTAAGTTCAAGGAGAAATAAAGAAAGCTAAAGATTACCAGATGCAGAAGTTCTATAACAAACATGTATTTCACAGACACTAGATATCTGTGGTATGGCTTGCTTTTAAATGCATGAAATTTTAAGTCCGGCGACATTTCTCTCCAAAGCAAATTATTTATTTATCTGTTACTGGGGATTGAATCCATGGATGTTTTACCACTGAACTACAACCCCAGATCTTTTTTATTTTATTTTGCTGAGGCTGGCCTCAGAATTGCCATCCTCCTTCCTCAGCCTCCTGAGTGACTGGGATTACAGGCATGTACTACCGCACCAGGCTTCAAAGCATATTTTTATCAACAATTGTAATAGGTAGTTCAATTTTAGCAGCTTTGTCCTGAATTGGGGGCCTTTGGATATTTTCTTCACTCTCCATTAAGAATGTTTAAGAGCTTCAGGGAATTTCCTCAGGCTTCAATGTGTGTTGATAGCACCCTAGTTCATGGTGTGAACTCCAGGGCCACAGCTTGTGCTGGAATCCCAGGTAGTCACTCACTCACTCCATATAGCTGTGCCCATGTGCCTTGACTTCTCCCAAGTGTCCCATTTCCTCATCTGTAAAACTTGGGTATTAGCAATCCCCGCCTGTAAAATGGCTGTGATGGTTCAATAAATGAATATATGTAAAGAATTCAAAGTGCCTCTCACACTGTAAACAAAGAGGAAACATGCATCCTTAATTGTATAAATATGCACATATATGGATACAGATATATGGATTGCAAATCCATATTCTTCATTTTAAGTGACTTACAAATAACCATCACTTGCAAAATATGTTTCTCTGTGGCAAAATAGGAACCATTTAGAGGGCAATGTCAGTTTCTTGCTTCCCAAGTAAATGAGAAGGCTGGTTATTGCATTTTAACAAAGAAAATGAAACCACAAAGAAAATCTTTGCATAGTCTGTAGTGCCAGACTGTTTATTGAGGATTGGACAGCACATCATACATCATCGCCTCTTTTGCTGAGTTATCACACGGAGTCAATGTTGAAAAAGGACGTGAAGAATGCTGCTCTTGGACTCCAGTTTGAGTCCCTGGCACTGGTGGTCCAGGGCTCCCATTAATAACTCCCGATGCACTTGGCCTCTCCAGCACTTGGTGAAAGAGGATTAACATCTGTTGTGCCAAAAAAAAAAAAAAAAAAACATGAGTGCTAATATTTCTTTTAGTCGACATCTTTGTTTTACCAGATTTCATTCAGTAGCTTTCCTTTGTTTATTTAGGAACTCACTCACGGCATTTTACATTGTCACCATCAGAAAATGTTGACAAGCTCACAGAACTGTTCACTGAAACATCATTGTAGCTCTGTGCAAAATGTCACGCCAGTCTGCACTCACTATTTCTTAAACATGGGTTGGAAGCAAAATCTGTAAATCTGCCTAATGTGAAGGGTTCATTGTCTCAGTAAAGGAATTTGTTGCATTCTTTAATGAAGTTGTGAGAAGAGTTGCAATTTTTTAATTTTTTTAATTTAAAAATGAATAAATGCAAATGGATTTAGCTAGAATATTTTTTAGTTACTAAAAGTCTTTATGTATCCGTGTTTTCAGATTCCACGTTTGATTTTTCAATCACCATGACTAAAGGCAGAATAGAACATTGTAAACAGTAAAAGATTTTAAGTCTGAAGTACAGCAGTACCAGTTCACAGATGTATGGCTCTGTGCACTGAGACACATCTGGAACTATATATTATAGTTGCCTCTCTGTAAATAAAAGGAATAATATCATTCAGCATAATGCACCAAATTATTGTAAGAACAATTAAATGAAATATTTGCTGGAATTCTGAATAGAAAATATTATTTTCTGTCCATATAACATTTACTCTTTTTTCTCTCTAGGCCAGGACTTCTCAACATCAGTGAACCTGCTGCACAGCCGTGGCTGGCAGACACGTGGCCTAATACTGGCAACAGCCACAATGACTGCTCCATCAACTGCTGCACCGCCGGCAATGGGAACAGCGACAGCAACCTGACCACCTACAGCCGCCCAGGTTAGGGACACGGAGAGGGAGATAAGCACTGGCCTTGGGCGAGTTAGCCAGAAGCAGCTGACTTTCCTTTCCCTCTGCCCACCTGGGGAAGGGAATTTTGATCCACATTTTCATGAAATGTCCAACACTGTGTAGCAAGCTAGCATGATTCAAATATTTTCTCCATTTCTAAACTTTTATATTTCACCCTCCACCAAGAAGATTTCCTCAGAGAATGAAGAATACAAGCTCTAGCATAGATTGCAAGTAAAGAAAACAAAGTCATGCACAATCATTTGTTTTATAAGAATGTGTACAATGATAAGTTTAGTTGCAGTAATTTATTATATTCATGATTTTAGGAATAAATAACAAAGACCAAAAGGTCAATAAATCCATAGTTTGAGTGGACCTAATTCTAACAATAAGAGTTATAATATTTGAACAAGAATAATAACAAAAAAATTAAATGAACATTTAAATCAGATATTATAGTATAATGTAAATCCTGAAGAAATAAGAAATACACACATCCATATATATTTCAGGTGTGTAGGTGTACATTTATAGTCTGTTCTATACTTTGGTTCTGAAATATGTGTGAGTAAATTACTTTGCTAAAATTTCATGCTAAAACATCACAGTAAGACAAGTAGATATGGAGCATTGCAAGATCTAAAGGCAGAAAAAAATACAGATAATTTCTTATGAAACAAAAAGTCCCATTATTAATAAGATAGGAAACATTTAAATAGTTGTAAAGAATCAAATGAGATGCCTATGAAAATAAAATAATGCATGGAATTAAGGAAATGAGAATGAGAAGATGGCATGTAAGTAAAGATGTAATAAATTATAAAGAACAAATCATAGAACTATCTATATGTCTACCCTAAAAACAATCCTGTGTCTCCATTATTAGATGTGGACATGATCATCCACACAACGAGTGTGTGTCCTCCAGAGGCCCAAGTTCTGCTGTCTATATAGATAGTCATGTATCATACACAAAAGACTATGCCGAGGGACACCTACTGGAATTAATATGTTGCATTGTCCAGTATGATAGTTACTGGCAACAGATGGCTGCTTAAATTCAAATCAGCTAAATAAAATACAGTTTGAAATTCAGCTCCTTATTCTCACTACCCACATTTCAAGTTCTCCATAGCTGTTATGTGGCCAGTGGCTGCTATATTGGACACTGGAGTCTTAGTACAAGTCCAACACTTTTAGAAGACCTTTTGGATAACACTCATATAGAAATATTGGCAAAGCAAAATGAATATATTGCCTTTAGATTATTTTTTAACCGTCATTAAACAAAATAATTCCTAGAAATTAGATATGAGAATTACTGTAATCCAGATGTACCAAATATCTCTGTTGCTTGATCATGTATGATTGAGTTAAGTAGTTAAATTTAGCAACATAGAGAAGCTGAAAAGTTTTCTTAAGATTATATTCATATTTACATCTTTAGTAGCAAGTATGTTAATTTTCATTTATTAAGTTATCCAGTTGAAACCAATTCTTAAAGAGACCTGTTAGTGATAGTGCTACTTTTAATCTGAATAGAATAATGATGTTTTCCATGGTACCTTTTTTTATTTTAAAAATGTTTATCTTTACAATATGACTTTAATTATTCCTGCTGTTTTAATATTTTCAATCATAGGCCTTAAATACATCTCTCTCTCTCTCTCTCTCTCTCTCTCTCTCTCTCTCTGTGTGTGTGTGTGTGTGCACGCATGTGTGCGTGTGTGTGTGTGATCAGTTATTTAATTTCTAAAAATTTCAATGAAGGGAAGATCAGAGTGGAATGAGATATTAGACATACTAGATATTATTTCAGGCATTATTTGATTAAGTGACCTGGTTAGTGTGGTTCATTTTGTCATCATTATTGTCATTTTATACTTGGGATGTCATTAGGAAACCATGAAAAAATGATTATGTAGCATCTCTCTTCAATAATGATTACCCTATATGACCAAGATAGGAACTAATAAAATTCCCCTAAGCACTATTGACTATCACCTTATCCCTGCTCTTCTTATCTTTTGAGGATAAAAATATTAGAATCTCAAGTGCTTTGACCGTGGATACATTTTCCTCTTTGGATTCTTATGTGCTTTGTTCTGTAGCTTCAAATAGTTCATTAGCCCAAGACTAGAAAATTTAAAGTTGACACTTAAAGATTCACGTATGTATTATTTTAGTGGAATTCCTGTTGAAAGGGTTGTTAAAGGAAATTCCTATTTTAAAGTAGATGAATTATTTTGCATACAGCACTGGCATAAGTTCACAATTATGTCCTCTCTACACGAATTCTCTGGATGCTCTTATTCCCTCAAGTTTGGTTTCCTTTAGAAAGTCCATATGAGTATGGGGCCCTTTCTATTGATCAAATTTAAGCCCATTGGTACTTTACATCCCAATTTTACTGTGACTCACAAAGCTTCTTAGAAAGAAATTGAAAACGAATAACCATGCAGAATGACTTTTTCCTTTTCCTCTCCATTGCACATAGCTGATTGTATAGCAAATTATAACAACCAACTGGATAACAAACAAACAAATCTGATGCTCCCTGAGTCAACTGTTTATGGTGATGTGGATCTTAGTAACAAAATCAATGAGATGAAAACCTTCAATAGCCCAAATCTGAAGGACGGGCGTTTTGTCAATCCATCAGGGCAGCCCACTCCTTATGCCACCACCCAGCTCATCCAGTCCAACCTCACCAATAACATGAACAATGGCAGCGGGGACTCCAGCGAGAAGCACTGGAAACCACCCGGTCAGCAGAAACAAGAAGTGGCACCAATTCAGTATAACATCATGGAGCAAAACAAACTGAACAAAGGTGAACAGCTTTGCCCTTATTCCTTCTCTTTCCCATATTGACACTCTTAGCCCCTCGGCACTAGATGTCAACAACTGTGACTCGCAAGTCACCTCTTTCCTTTGGTTATTGTGATTTTCTTCTTTCTTTGGTTTCAGAATTTCCAGTGTCAAAGAGTTAATTAGCACCACAATAAGCTTGGAAAATTGATTTTATAATAATATATAAGTATTTTCAAATGGTTTTGAGATTAATTTAAATTTAATAGTAGGTGAGGGATTGCTGAGGACATACAATCTTTTATTCATAAGGCAGATGTACAACTGTCACAATACCTCGCATTTTCAATAAATAGACTATTCCACTCTTTCCACTTGAGGATGGAAGATAATTGCTTCTACATGGTCCTATGAACGAAGGGCCTTTTTATATCAAACTGAAGAAAAATAATTAAATTAAACTTGAACTGGAGAATTGGTTCAATTTGTTGTATTTCTCAGACCTTGTGTGGTTCCTGAGATTGCTACGATGTATATAATTTTAGAACCTCAATTTCTTGGGTTGACCTGATTGAAGTCTGCCAGTATAGAACCAAAATAAATGGAGTTTAGTATTAACTTGAAGCTGCAGAATAGTATTTTATGGCCTGAGGGGAATATCTGTGTATTGTAATGTTGTAATGCATGTGGGTTGAAAGAGATAGGTGTTTGATTTCTTTGTAGTTCATCAGGCTACTGCTTTAATAACATGATTTGCAAAGTTATATACCTCTAGCTATAACTAGATTGCTCTAATTTGAATAGATGGGGCAATGTTGTGCAAGTATCCTGGTCAAGAATGCATTTTATGGTACATAATTAGAGGTATGGATTTATTTTCTTAGGCTTGAGTTGAGAGCATTTTCTTCAAAAATAAAACTTTGTGAAGCTGGAGAGTATAACAAGATAATTTAAACATTTCATTAAGTTCATGTCATGTTTTAATTTGATAATAAAGTCATCTAGCTTTTTCCCAAGTTTGAGAAGGTACTTAACTGGTATAATAATCCAATTTAATAAATATTTATTAAGATTCCTGTGTACATTGATGACAAAGACTGACAAAATTGAGAGCAGATTCTGCAGCTATGGAGTTTACTGTGGGGATTCAAACCATTACATTATTTTTCCATAGTGTGTGGTTTTACTCTGGACCTCAGAAAACTCTGACAGTCCTCTGTACAAACATTTCAGAACTCTGATTTATTGTTTGTACTGCTTGTAAGCAGATTTGGTATGTCAGAGTGTAATAAAGACCCCGGAATGCAGCTAGGCTGACAGATTATTACTGACTACATTCCAGTAGCAAGCTTATCATCTGGATTTTCACCTTTGCCTAAATAAGGAGAAGCATTTCTGGGGCAGATTAGATATTTTATTTTCTTATCAGGGATACATTTTTATGAGATATCATCTAGCTGACAAGTTTCCGTTTTATTTTTATTTTATTGCAATTTATGTTTTATGAGTTGCAGACGTGGCATTTTATGATTTATTCTTGTTAGAATTATTTTGTTACTATATATACATGTATGTACATATTTTGGGGGGAGGGTACTATTGACTGAGGGCACTGGGTCTCATACATACTAAGTATGTGCTTTACCACTTAGCTATACCCCCAGTTTCTATTCCTATATTTTAAAATAGACATCCGTTTTGAGTATAAGTCTTTTTATAGCCTGACAATTTGAATCTAAAAATAAATGAGAAAAACAGACAATTGGTTTCTTAATGTATTCAGAAATATATACAAAATAAAGAGATGTGAAATAACTCACAAAGAAAACATAAATGTACATTTTTTTTCTATCTGAAATATCTAGATTATCGAGCAAATGACACAGTTCCTCCAACGATTCCATACAATCAATCATATGACCAGAATACGGGAGGATCCTACAACAGTTCGGATCGGGGCAGTAGTACATCTGGTAAGGGGATCCCAGGAAACATCAACCTCTCTGTTTAAAAGATGGTACAGCCCCAGATGGACTGAAGTATTAAATCACTTTATATCATTTGAATCTAATCTTTCTTTATATCAGGCTTGGGTTTTTGTTTTTTATATCAGACATGGGTCTTATTTTTTCAGTTTAAGGGACTGTATTCTCAGTAAACCATTTTATTTTCCATTAGGTATCAAATACTAAGCTCCCTGTTTTCTTCCTTTATCAGTAAATCAAAAATATGAACTAAAATTTAAAGGCAGCTACCACTAAACTTTAAAGGCAGCTGAAACTTTTTTCTCCCTTTTCCAAAATATAATGTAAGAAATGTTGTACATATCTGTAATCAGATAAATCTGTTACCATTTGAAACAATGCTATTAAAGCAAGTAACATTTAAGTACACTTCAGCACTATAAAAACCTGAGAGACAATAACCTGAGATCCAGCTACGGTCTCAGTTTATACTTTCTCTGTGATCCCTCAGTTCTTGTTCAGGAGCCTCATAAAGCAACCTCCCAGCCTCAATTTGTCCATGCCTCAAAAACCACAGAGACTCCTCCCTGTGGTCTTCATGCTGGGGCAGCTGTTTGCCAGCTGTTTTCCTGATAGGGGTTGCAGATGGGAGCTTGATGGTACTTAAGTCCTGTTTTTCTAATTAAAGGTGGTTCATTATTAGAACTAACATGTGGCAAGTCACACCACAATGAGAACAAACTAATTGATCTTGAATGGAGCATGTATCTGCAGGAGAGGGTAGAAATGGCACCTCCCAGCAACTGGATCAAAGTCATTGCTAGGTTCTTTTAGCCAAGTGTCTCTACCTCCTTCTGTAAAAAAACATCACATTCACAGTTTGCTGTCTTCTTTTAGCTAAAGTATGCTGGTTTAACATTTTCTAACCTGTGTTGAAATTTTTCCTATTAAAAGGAGCTTAGAAATGGCCCTTTTTCTTTGTAGATTTTCTCAGATTCTACTGTCCATTAATTTGTATTAACAGTGAAAATATTATTAATTTTTTTTCTTTTTTTAATTAAGTAAACTGACTTAAAAATGTCAAAGATCTACTTTTGGGAAAAACATAAAATATTTAAATATTAGATTGTTGATGTCATTTCATCTTTATATTTTTACTTATAGAGAAAATCATATTTTAATAGGGGAAAACCCCCATGATTCTAGGTTATTAATTTTCGATTGACCTTCTCCATCCCTTAGCTTAGACACTGAAACCATGAGGCCATGCTGCTATTCATCACCTGTTATTCTGTGGATATTTGGTAAAACGATTATAAAGGAGTGAGGTCTGGTGAAGGCAGGGAGCAAGCAAAGGAAGTACATGAAGTGCAGGAAAGGTCTGTGTGGGTCAAGCCATTCGGTCAGGTGGAGTTGCTACCATGCATGTGTCTCAGGAAATCCAGAGGAAGACACTGGCCTATGTCAACTCTGTCACGCATGCACAGTCACCCCAGTACATAACAACCGAGTGACAGAGAACAGAGACACCCAGGCTCAGGGCTGGAGTCACAGTTTATTAGTAACAGCCTGTTCCTCAGCCCACACTTGGTGTTGTAACATATCAAGACAAGAGCATCTGGCATAACAAACACTGCCGTTAGAAAATTCCCAAGTGACTTAAAAAAAAAAAAAAGTCCCACTGCCACTGAGTAAGCTATGACCTGTGTCATTTGCAGGGTGACGTGTAGCTGTTTAAGTTAGGATTAAAAAAAAAAAAAAGATCAAGATAATTCACTGATATTAAAGGATAACATGAGAAAAATCAATTATAATTCAATTGTAATTAACAATTATTGTCTATAATATAAATATGATTCTAAAATATATTCAGGGGGAGAACTTTATCCCCAGATACCTTTTGACCTGAGGTTTTAAAAAGGGAACATATGCATCTATGGTGTTCAAAGAATACACCAAATCTAAAATTGGAAAACTGTAGCTCTTGAAGAATTGGGTTATTTCAAACTATTAAGAACATTCAGCAACATTATTTTACTATAAGCCACAATTTTATAGAAACAGCAGCTGAGAAGATGTCTGTCCCTTTCTAAGAGCATTTTTTGGCTTCTTTTGTCATTAGTTATATTAGTTCTTCCAGCATTTATTCTCATCTGTATCTGCCTTTCTGAAGAAAACTAATAATTTCATTGTGCCCAAAACATTTCAATGGACAAGTACAAATTATATATATTCAGTGATTTAATGCAACAGTGGAACTCTAATAGATCGTATCTATATCATATTGTATTTTAGGTTTCAGCAATTAAATAATAGAAAGGCACTCCAGAAAATATGTCTACAGCTCATTTGTTTTAGATGATAATCCATAATGCAATTAATTACTGTAGGAAGATCACTATTAATGATATGACTTGTAAAATTCATTTATGGTTTTATTGCTTTTTTGCTATGTGTTCTACAGTTAAACTTGGGAATTCTTTGCTTCTTCTCTTCTATAAAATTCTGTTTAAAATTAATGAAGAAAAGTGTGTTTATCTCTATATACCTGAATAAATTATAAGATCATATTCACAGAAAATAATTAATCATGGATAATAGGAAAAAAAATTAAAGGCCAGGAATAAAAGACTTGTACTTCATTTCTTCTCTAGGAAGTCAAGGGCACAAGAAAGGGGCACGGACACCCAAGGTTCCCAAACAGGGTGGCATGAACTGGGCAGACCTGCTTCCTCCTCCCCCGGCACATCCTCCTCCCCATGGCAACAGTGAAGAGTACAGTATTTCTGTAGATGAAAGGTAGGCGGAACATCACCTGTGAATGGTATAAAAGATTTGCTTATACCCACCCAAGTAGTTGTTACACTATACTGCCAAGAGGAGACTGACTCCTGAAGTTCACAGTGTTATCTCTAAATAACACAATGCTGATCAGTAGCACTTTAAAACCCTCCTCAGGGATGCCCATAAAAGAATTAGTGCTCTAGAAACTTCTTTAGGAACTGGGAATTACACACACACACACACACACACACAGGAAATCTTGAGATTGTATGTATAGAATTTCACGTATGATTTGGTGATTTTCAAAATAGTCATGCACTGCATAAGGTCAATTCAGTCAATGTCAGACCACATATATGATGCTCTTCCCATGATATTAAAATGGAGCTGAAAAATTCCCATTGTCTTTTATTTTTACTGTATCTTTTCCATACTTAGATGTGCCTAGATGACTACTTCCCCTGGTGTTACAGATGCCTTCAGTATTAAGTATGATGATATACTGGTTCAGAGCTTAGGAGCAATAGGCTATATTATTTAGCCCGGTTTGTGTTCAATGCCATGGAAGTTTGTCTAAATCTACTCTGAAGTTCAGACAGTCATGAAATCCCCAAACAAGGTGTTTCCTAGAACGTGTTCCTATAGTTAAGTGATACATGACTGTGTTGGAATTTCTTTGACACATTGTTAAGTTTTCATAAAATAATTATGTGGATTTACATACCACAATTTCTGGAGACTACTTTTTTCTTAGCTATTATCACATTATGCTGAAAATTACTTGTAGAGGTTTAAACTTCCCTGAATTATTTCTCAGAAGGATTTAACAAGAACAAATAGTCCACATGAAAAAATGAAAAGTTAGAATGCTTCCTCTCATTCCAGAATCTTTATAATTGGATATGATAGCTCAAACAAAACAAAACAGCTGCTTTAGTAGTGAGATTAAAAGCAGAGAATTCTCTTGACTTAGAGAATTAACTACAAAAAAAAAAAAAAGAAATCTACTTGGAAATAGTCTTTTCAATGACTTTATAGAAATAAAGGCTTTGTTTTTTAATTCTTATAAAAAAGTGTTTTGCAGTCCCAGCTGTGCGCAGAAAACAAAACTTCTGTGCTTCTCTTTTTTAATAATTTTTAAATAACATATATTTTTAAGTAAAATTTTTTTACAAAAATGTTAACAGGCGATTCCAATTATCCATAGTAGTTATGTTTTATAAAGTTACTGTGAACACTGAATTAGTGAATATGGAACCATTTGTCTCTAGGGGAAATACAGGGTTAGATTCTTTGAGCCTCAGGTCACAACATTTTTGTTGATCTGAGGCCTTTTTTTAATGTGTGTTTTGTTTAAAGCACCTTTATTTAATATATATTTTTCATTAATATAGTGTCATTTCTGAGAAAACGCATCTGTTACAGATGCATTTTCTCTGTTAGGCACATCACAACCCTCTTAAGTTAGGAGTGCCAAGCTGCATGTTAACATTTCCTCTGGGTGCCATTTTTAACAGGGAAATCACTGATATTAAGCAAGAAAATTTCAAGCAATGTGGCCCTAAATCAACTGTTCAAAGGATGTGAGAGCTGACAAAAGAAAGTATTTGTTGTCTTGTTTTGCTTCTGCTGGGGACATGCATGTCAGGTGGTTCAAATTTTTGGCGTCTTTTTGTATGTGTGAAGATGACCACAAAAACATCACTAGTATTGATATGGGGGTTTCAAATTCCCTGAATCAGTGAATTTGCGAATATAGAATCTGCAAATAGTGAAGATAAGTTTGGTCATAATAGTTTGTTTTCCAGGCTATTTTAATAGAATATTTTCTTCTATTTTAGTTGACTAAAAAGGGTTAAAATAAAATATGCTATTGTAGATTAAAAAAAAAAAAAAACACTACAGGATATACAACTACTCCCCAAAGAGAAAGATTTGTTTTACCTGCGAAGAATGAATCTAATCTGCTGATAGGTGTTTTTCACCTTGAAAATGATAAATCAATTAAGAGCAGGGATTTTTATGGATCCTGGGACCATGCAGAGATATGGACTTTTGCAGAACTAACATGGCAGGGTGTGGGAAAACTGGGAAGGCAAACGTAAGCCAGATTATGCCGATACTCAAATGCCTTGCTGCAGCATTTTTATTTTATTCTCTAAGCAATTAGAGAGCCATTTATTACTTGGAGCAAATGAATGACCTGACAGTGACTTGTATTATAGTAAAGCAATTTTGGAACAATGTGACCATGGTGAAGCAAGGAGTGACTGGCGGCAAAGAGATCAATTAAAAGATTATTGCAGTAGGACATGCAACAGATGAAAACAAGGGAACAGATTGTAGGAGAGTCCTTATAGGTAGAACAGAGATGAATTGTGGGACAGGTTAATGAAGAGGAGAAAGGAATAATTCTCTTCAAGATTACTAATTTGGATGGGTGAGCAAATTGCTTGGCTACTTGATAACAAAGGAAACATAAGAAGGAGTTACAAAAATTGAGGTAGGAGGATTAGGGAAGTAAAAAAAAAAAAAAAAAAAACGATAAAAAGCAACCACATTATTTAAGCATCAGTTTTCCTAAGGTAAAGTAAACAAGGTGGGGTGGTAGAGAACGAATAAGAGAGAGCAGTAATCAAACAGTTTATATAATGCAGTACATCTTTGTCATTCTAATCATTAAACATATTCCTGGGATAAGATAAAATAGAAAAGTGTAAGTACTCTCCAGATTTATCTTGTCTCCTACCCAGATCTAGCCCAGGAGCAGAAGAGCATTTAATTATTTAGGGGTGTTGTATTTTTCACTTACCATCCTAAATGCAAACCAACCAGTTCATTTTGTGCCCAACTGAAGAAATAATGATCTATTTACATTTTCAAAAGAGAGTCCTATTGAACTATGTAAGTTGTTTCCAGTATCTCTCCCTTTGAAAGCATTTAGAAAGTCCTTTGCTCAGGGTCTAGAACTTCATCATCAGACTATCTGCAATGCCATCTTTGAATCTTCTTGAGCATATGTTGCACTGGAGGAATAGAACATACTAAGTACATTTGATATATACTAAATTAAACTATGTTAAGTGGATTTCTTTATTGTTTCTTTATGATTTCTCAGCCTGAATAATATGCTGATAATAAGTTACAATCTTGCAGAGAAAAATAGTATATGTTAATACTTCAAAAACCTTTATGATAGCAGACTTTTTAAAACAATGAATCCTTACTATGATTTAGAAGAATTAGCAGGGCAGTGACGTATTGCATTATATAAGTTGTAATTTCATTACATCTCTCTTGTTTATTCTCTACCACCTAAATTGATTACATTAGCTCCGGAAAGTTGATGTTCAAATCATGTGGTTGCTTTGTATCTTCTTTTGCTTTCCTAATCCCACTGTCTCTCTCTGTGTAACTCTTTTCCTCTGTTTTCTTTGTGATCAAGTAGCCTAGCAGTTTGCTCATTCATCCAAACTAGAAGTCTTTGTACAAAATTTTTCCTTTTCCTCTTCTTCATTAAGCTCTTCCACAATTCATTTCTCTCTTCATATTTGAAAACAAGTCAAAGCTGACATTCCACTTACTATAGCAATAGTTTATTGGGAGAAACTGAAGTAAGTCAGCATGTTCTCATAGTAACACATAACATGTTGTTTCAGCTATGATCAAGAAATGCCATGTCCTGTACCACCAGCACGGATGTATTTGCAGCAGGATGAATTAGAAGAGGAGGAAGATGAAAGAGGCCCCACACCTCCTGTGCGGGGAGCAGCTTCTTCTCCAGCTGCCGTGTCCTATAGCCATCAGTCAACTGCCACTCTGACCCCGTCCCCACAGGAAGAACTCCAGCCCATGTTGCAGGATTGCCCAGAGGAGATTGGCCATATGCAGCACCCACCTGACAGGCGGTATGTGGTTTAGAAATAAATTTTAGCAGAATCAGATCATTTCCACTACTTACTGAGTGCTGTCCCATGAAGTAGTTTTCAAATCACATGAGCATTTTCTTGGAGTATTTTCCCACAGTAAAGCCTGATAAAGGACATATCAGTAATACTGTTGACCATGACATTAGATTAATAGATCCCAGGGCACTTGCAACCATAAAATAATGGGCATTGATACTCACCCACTTATGATAATTACATTCATGTACATGTGGCCTGCTAGTCTCATGACATGTTATTGCTGGTGGGTGTTTTTTGTACTTTAACTTTCCTTGTGCATGAGCAAACCACTTCTTTCTTTAGAAAAACAAATTTTTCTCTTATCTTCTAAAATTGAGTTCCACATAATGATTTGTTCTTTCATAGCTGTAATGTCATAGTAGAATGAATGAGTTTGGTGTGTTCATTTTATGTTGACCTCAGATACCTTTACTTTGATATAGATTGGGATTATTTTATCCAGGTTACTACACAAAATGTGTGAGTGGGTGTGGGTGTGGGTGTGTGTGTTTAGACTTTTTACCCTAGTGAACATCATCATCCAATACATATTTTTGTTATCTGTGACTTCAGTTGTCATTTCTACCACATAAAAGCTATGACTGTATCATGTTAGCTCATCTTTCATTGTTGATGATATTGTTTGTACTATTTTATTGCCCTTGACACATTATAATATGTGTCTATTGCTTTCCATATTCCTAATATCATTTGAAATCGAGTATATCATTTGCCTCAGAAGATTTTCCCTCAATATTCTTGAATGAATAACAAATCCTGGTTTGTGCTGTTTGAATTTTATTCTGCAGATTAAGATAGAATTTGCAGTGTTTGCTAACAATTCTGTCATTAAGAAGTTATTACCAAATTCAAATCCTATACTTCTTAAACAGAAGGAAGTAGTTAAACCTTTCCCTGTGTGACAAGGGGAAACTTGGATTGCCATATATTTAAATAGTATTAACCTTTGAACTTCATGAAGATTGAGAGCAAATAAGTTGTCTTTCTTTCCTATTAGCATCACAAGCCATCTCAGCTACTCTTATTAGAAGCAAATGAGAGACGAACAGAGACCATTAAGCTTCTTTGGTTCTCTCAAGTAACCTATTTCCTTCCACTCTCCTCTGTGTGGCCTCTGGGACTCCAGATCTTCCTCCTGACTAACCTTTTTTTTTTTTTTTTAATTATTCCTTTTGTAATCCTTTTTACCTTCCTTGTAAACAAAAAAACAAATATGAGTTTCCTGTCATCTGTCTGGACATTACAGCCATAGGCTCTCCCTTCAATCCTCCCTTCTTTCTCTATTAACTATGTGGCTTGTAAACTTTCCTTAGCCTTCTCTCCCAGTTACAGACTCGCCTACTGCTGACTGTGGTTCAGCCACCTCCACCTTCCCAGTTCCTGGCTACAATTCTGCCCACTGTGTCCTAGCTTCTACACTTTTTGTTTCCATCTGTCTGCTGAAAGTAACTTCCTAATGCTAAAATCTAAAGACTTCTTTGTCCTTATTATTCTTGAGCTCTCTGCAATGATGGCAGTTTTATAAATTGTTATGAGAATTGAATGAGATAATGTATGTTAAGTACCTGCAGAGGGGTAAGTTTTCAGCAAATAATAGTTCCCTTTTGTCCTCCTCCTTGTGTATCACCCCATCACTTGATTTGACAATTATATTCGGATGGCTGTCAAATTTATTTAGCCAGCCCAGACCTTTTCCCTGTGTGTCACAATGATATTTTCACTTGGACATCTCCACATGTCTAAACCCAAATTGATCATCTTTGCTCCTTGTCCTACTTTAATGGCTACTTATTTATATACCAAGGGGATAGGCAAAAGCATAAAAAATACCTTTGATATTTGGAAATAAGCTGAATTATCCTTCTGCCTCATCTTTTGTCTTCATACCATCTATGAATTAAAATATTTACCATTTCCCTTTAATGCTAATTCCAAAATAGCCCACGATTGTGTTCCTTTGTTTCCATTTCTGTTGCTACTGGACCAGGGCCCCAATCCCTATCCCTTGGAATTTTCCCATACTCTTGAAATGATATCCATTTTTCTTTCCTTTCTCTCTTTACCTTCAAATGTTCTTTCATTGCATGGAAGTCTGGATCTGTTTCCCCCATTTCCAGTCCTCCTATGAAGCCCCGCACTCAAAGCCCCTGACCGTCCTCTCTTTCCCTTCCCACAATATTTCTAATTAGTCTGTTTGAAATTCTCTAAGTTTATCTTAAACTCACCCAACATCCTGGTCTAGGATGTGCTGTTTTTTGGTTGCTTGGCAAGCATTCTTCATCTTTCCAAGTCCTGCTCAGAAACACTCCGTGGAGCTTTCCTCTGATGGACTGGCAGAAATCCACCAGTCTTCTTTTTCATCATCATAAGGCTCTGTTCCCATCTCAGTTAATCAGTTTTCTTGTTGCTTTAGTATTTCCTATTTGTTTATCTGATGCTGTATTTAAATTCAAAGCTCTCTGATGTCAGAATTCATGTCTTACTCATGTCTTTGCATTCACAGATTTTCCCACTCCCCCACCCCAGTATATGATGGCTGGAATCTGATACTGAAAATGACCTACTTTCTACTGTTATAGGGTGACAAATACATGTATGATCTTGAAGTATACAGATGTGATTGAGAAAGACACCAAGTACCTGCAGCACTTAGAGTGAATTTAACTAGTTTTAGCTTTTAAGTTTTTTTATTTTCAGTCTATAAAGAAATTATGAATTTTATTTCCAGGATCATTGCTGGAAATAACACTGGACACTAATAAAAAGGTGGTGTGAGCCCATTAAAAAAAGAAAATCCTGTTAGTGCTTTTGAAATGGTGACTATAGACTCTGTATGACATTTTAAAAATACAGATAAGCAAAATGAAAATATAAAGTACCAATGATCTATATAGTCAGAAGCAGACACTGTTCAGAGCTCAGTAAAAATCCTTTCAATCTTTCATCTCTACCTGTTTTCACATTGTGTTGAATTTGTAGCTTGCCAGTATTATTTTGCAAGTTACTCTTTTCGCTGAACAGTGTATTTTTCTCTGTTGGTAACTTTCAGTGTAGACACTTGGGTTAAATAGATACTGTAATTTATGTAGCTCATTCCCTAATGTTGGCATTTAAATTGTGCCTACCCTGTTGAGACTAGATAGAGTGTTGGACTCTCATCTGTAGTTAAGTCCTTGAGTGAAGCCTCTTCTCAATCCTTTTACCTATTCAAACATCAGTCCCATCAGTCAATGACTTCTGTTTCTTATCATCCTGCCACTTCTCTAATGATGCAATCATTAGAGATAGATAGCTATTTCTCTACAGGTCTCATTCTAGAGCTTCAGACCCATATATCCCAGTACTTATTCCTGCAGATTTTTACTGCCTAAATATCACTCTGAGAGAAGCACATATATTCAGGCATAAATGCACTTTTCTTGTTCCAGCAGCCATTTTCTCATGCCTGCATTACAGTAATGTTCTGCTAAGTGGTCTCAGTGCCTTTGACCCTGTCCCTTCTTCAAACTGTGCCCCTGCAGCAGGGTGTACAGAGACATTTTCCTGAAATGCAATGCTGATCAAGTTTCATCAATGCTTGAAATCTCACAATGGTTTCCCATTCCCCTTAAAATAAAGACAAGATTCCTTAATGTAGCAATCAAGACCCTTTGTGATCTGACCCCTCTGTGGCTTCATCCTTGCCCACTGCCACACCCCCATCAATGAAAGTATTGTTTTACTCTTAAGTTTCTTCCAGTTCCTGGAAGAAGAACAGTTCTTGTTCACTTCAAGGTCTCTGCACATTCTGCCCAACTTCCTGGAACACTATTATCTGCTCCTTTTTCAGAGCTAACACCTATGTATTCTTTAAACTCAAAATTAAGTGGCAGATTCTCCTTCCCTAATACCACAATGAAGGGATGGGAGCCTGTTATATGTATTCCCACAACACCGTATATAGCCCCCATTAGGGTGCTGACTTAATGTATTATGATTGCACACATAATGAATTGTTGGTCTCTTCCACTGGACTACAAGTTCAAATAAGAAGTATATTTTATTCAGCTGAATTTCTAACATAGTGTCTGAATTCCTATCTCTATTGCTGTCTAACAAACTACTCTAAAACTTGGTGACCTATAACAACCATTTTATTTTATTCACAATCCCATGAATTTGGGATTCTGAAAAAATTCAGTTGGACAATTCATCTCTAATCTACGTGACTTTCGCCTGGTTGTGGGGGTAAGATCTCCTGCCAAGTTAGTTTTATCCCTCATATCTGATGTCCCAATATTCCTCAGCCTCCATCTCCAAAGTGTCATCACATAGCCTGGGCTTCTCATAATATAAGGTTTCAGGATAGAGACACTTTTAACATGTCAGCTGGTTTCAAAGAAGGCAGAAAGAGGAAGTTTTCAGATCAGTTTAGTACTATATTCGGGATAGGGGCATAATCTTACTCCTTCTATAGCCTATTGGTCAAAGCAGTCACAAAGTTCATCCTGATGTAACAATGTAGAACCAAATTCCCTCTCTCGTTTCAGAAGGTCATTTGAATTTACAGATATTATTATGGGTATTCTGAAAAATGAGGTCATCTCTGGCCCAGATATGTATAGTTAGTTTGTATTCAGTATGTATGCCTTAAAATTGAATCTTTATAATCCTTAGTCTCAAAATCTAGTAGGGACCACACAATAATAGAGGCACAATAGATGTTTAAAGAATAAATACATTGGGGCTGGGGTTGTGGCTCAGTGGCAGAGCGCTTGCCTCACACATGTGCAGCACTGGGTTTGATCCTCAGTACCACATAAAAGTAAACAAAGATATTGTGTCCATGTGTAACTAAAAAATTTAAAAAAAATAAATAAATACATTATTTTATGCTTGTTGATTAGGGGCATATGTAAATATTACAATATACATAACAAAAAGTTAATGAAAAAAGTATTATAATACCACAATAATAATTTTATAAGCCTTAAAGGCTTGCACTATTATTAATATTGCAATTTTCTTCTTATGAGCTTCTAGAATATTCCATATTGTCTAAAATTAGATAAACTAAATGACTAACATAGTGGCAACCCTTCTCTTTTTCTCATATAAGAACAATGAAAATAATATAATTAAACTGATACATATTGTTTCAAAAAAATTACACTATTGCATTCACTGCAGTTAATAATAAAAATACCTTGAACAGCAAAAATAGTTTTCATGTATGAAGTAGAAAATTGTCTGATGTTTTTTCATACAGACAAGTTGAATATGATATTGTTAGAAGGAAAAGAAAGAAAGAAGGTAAAGGAAAATTAAATATCTTGTCTTTTTACAAACTGGGTAATAGTTGATTATACAAAAAAATTGAAACTACACTAGTGTTAGAAAAAAGGATTTGAAAGGTATGGGGTTTTTTTCCCCTTTTGTCTTTTGCCTGGTACATGCTATATGGTGAACTGTAGAGACACCTGCTTTCATAAATTAATGGAATCACCCCTTTCTTTCTTGAACATATTTATGAAGGCATCATTTTCGCAGGAGCCTAGAGTGTTGTGAGTCACAGTCATATACTTGTACATTATTTCAGAAGATGCTGAAACCCCTCAGGGGGAGGAATCTAAAAGGTTGAGGTTCGTTTGCAACAAGCCCCACTTGAATGCAGCATCTCGAAATAGCTTTTTGTTTTCAAGTAGAATATATTACATATTTCAAACTGTACATGTTTATCACACATTCCCCGGGATGGCCTTATTTACAGATGGTTTGAATAAATTTTTTTTTCCTGTCTTTCCTCAGAATTTGCACGTGTTGGTAGTAGTTAAAAGACAGCCCTTGTTTAACATTTTTGCTCTACAGAATGTGAATTATCCAAACAGCAATGCTGGCATCCTTTCACAGGGAAGCTGGCCATTCTACATCCCTTTATTGATGGTCAAAACAGTCCCCTTTGTACTAAAAACTCTTACATGACTGTAAAAAAAAAAAGAAGTTTCTTGTGGTATTTTGGATGTGCATGCTTACAAAGGCTGCAAATTAACTTTTAAGTATGCTATTTTATTGCATTCCAAATTAAACAAAGGTTTTCCTCCTATGTGTATGACAGAATCCACATTGAAACAATTATCCATTTTAATCTCTTAAATAACTCCAGCTTTGGCACATTTTTCATATTTCTTCTAGTGCCACACACAGACACATTACAAACCACCCAGAAATGAAAAATGATGAATTATATTAAAGAACCCTACATGTGTGAACATATAAAAAATGTGTAATAATGTACACTTATATACACATAGTCCTTTACTAAAACATGTTATTTTTGTTTCTTATGTTTTTAATTCAACTATAACTGAAACATACCTCTCCTGGCGTGCGCGCACATGCACACACACACACACACACACACACACACACACCTCTATTGGCATACATTGTGTGTGTGTGTGTGTGTGTGTGTGTTAATACCATTCCTAGAAGGAAGGAAGGTCATGATCTTGGAAGCAAAATTTGAGTTTAAATTCTGCATTTTAGACACCCTACTTTAAGAACTTTGAGAAAATCCTTAATTCCTCTGAATTTCAATATCCTCATATATAAAATGATAATTTAAAAAGTAACTCAGAAAATTGCTCCGAGAATTGAGATAACATTGTAAGATATGCTTAGATACAAAATATGTGCTCAGTGAGTTACTTGTTTTGTTTAAAATAATTATCATTTATTTTAACTGTCATGTGCTGAATCTGTGTTTTTTAATTCTATGAAATCAGGAGTGCAGGATCTGATGAGGTGCTGTCATGAACCTTCTGCATGATAGTCCCCCCATTGTGTCCCATCTTTGACCTGGCATCTTCTGAGCATCACTGTGTGTCTGTGTTTCCCTTTTTTGCAAGCATGCTCTTAATTAGGTGCTACTCTCTTGGTATTCTTCTCCCTTGGGAATAACACCTTTCCATGACTTTTCTTTCACTTAAGTCCAAATGCTCTCTATCTTCTCAGTCATCTTATATTCACTGGAGTAGATTGGGTAGTATTGGCAGAAAGACTACTTTTAACTGATGTTCTTCAAGCCTGTGGAGAGGTGGCTGAAACATCAGTTAATCTGTGAACTAAGACTGTGGGATACTACTTAATTTTACCCTCCGTTTTGATCCTTAACTAATTTCAGGTCATTAGAAAAAATACCTTTAAGCATGTTATTAAAGAGATAGATAGAATAACAGGAAAACCAAGGAAGTTTAAAACAGCCAATCACCTTCATTTAAACTCATAAATGAGTAAATTAGAGAAAAATCGCTCTTGGGTCCCATAGCTTTTAAAATGAATATATAGTATTATTTAATACATATATGTTACATACATATTAAAATATGAAAGGAATTGTGTTATGTGCTGAATATGTTTTTGTTAATTCTATGAAATTTTACTGTTTATAGTCTAGTTGAATTGACTTCGTTCACTTGGAATAGTAGAGTGGCAATAAAGGAAAGGGAAAGAAATGAATGTTTTTGGAGTGAATTGGGGATGAATGAATGTTGTCTTTGGCAATAATAAGCTATAGATAATTTGGAAAGTCTGTAGGACAAATACAAAGGTAGATGCTCCCCAAAAGAGTAATAATCAATGAAGTGGAACAAACTTATGTTATAGGTGCATACATGAATATTTCACAATGAACCACACTATTGTGTATAATTATAATGCACTAATAAAAACATTAAAATATGTATCACTTCCTATTTTAACTTTTATAAACTTTTCAATTCAACCGATAAACATGAGACTTAGCTGAGTATATTTCTATAAAACTTGAATAAAATGTACTGCAGGGAAGCCCCTAAGTGAGATACAACCCAAAGTAAAATCAAACTCGGATATAAAAGATTTATAGCATTTTTTTTTTTACTTCCTCTGTGCAAATCAGCTCAACAGAAGCAAAGATCAAATCAGTTTCCTTGTGAATTTCTGGTTGCTTCCTTGTGTCCTGACTTAGATAATGAGCTGAGCTGTTGCTCTTTATTCCTGTTCATGCAGAAGGCAGCCAGCGAGTCCTCCTCCACCTCCGCGGCCGATTTCTCCCCCGCACACCTATGGCTACATTTCAGGACCCCTGGTCTCAGATATGGATACGGATGCTCCAGAAGAGGAAGAAGATGAAGCCGACATGGAAGTTGCCAAAATGCAAACTAGAAGGCTTTTATTACGTGGGCTTGAGCAGACCCCTGCCTCAAGTGTTGGGGACCTGGAGAGCTCTGTCACTGGGTCCATGATCAACGGCTGGGGTTCAGCCTCAGAGGAGGACAACATCTCCAGTGGGCGTTCCAGTGTTAGTTCTTCCGATGGCTCCTTTTTCACTGATGCTGATTTTGCCCAGGCAGTGGCAGCGGCCGCAGAGTATGCTGGTCTGAAAGTGGCGCGAAGGCAGATGCAGGATGCTGGTGGTAAGTCGGGCAGTTTCCCCAAGCCACAAAGAAAGCTCAGTGCTGATTAGCACCTATGGTTTGGTGTCTAATTTATAACCACTTTTTCTTTTCTTTTTTAATTGAGTAAGGAAATCAAAGTCCAAGAATATGATTTATTTGTATTATTTTCTTTCTTTCCTTCCTTTTTTTTTCGTCAAACTTCTAAATTCTGCATTTATTTAATAAACGCTATATAAATGAGAGTAAAAAGAAGCTAATTCAAATGTCCTCATTTTAAGTATAATTGTAAAAATATATATGACTGTATATCTGTGTGTCTGTTTCACACTGATTGGTCTAGTTTCTTTAAGGTATGTATTTACTCAGTTAAATGAGCTTTGTGTTGCTCAATGCATAGTATGTATAAAGTAACCCAGATAAAATTTATTGTGATAATTCTTTTATTTCATTTAATCAGATGTTCTGTCAAAGAAATATTTACATATCCAGGTGGGACAGTCAGCCATTGGAAAATAGGCTATTTCTTTTTGAAACTCATTTCCTCGTGTCTTTTCAAACTAGAATATTAATTTAATTGGGAAAAATTAAAGATTTGGATAATACACACACATTTTCAAGCATAAATATTTTCCCTCTTTGATCTAATAATTGAGAGAGAGCAGGTTTTAATCCAGATGCACATTATAAATTTTCTATTTCCCTTTCTCATTGCCAGTAACCTATTTTTAATGAGAATGTATCTCTTCTTATGTTTTAACCCATTTTTGCTTATTGCCTTCTCCTCCCAAGTATGATAAAGAAAATAATTTGAATATAAAACATATTTTATGATTTAATTTGTGTAGGATGAATATATATTTACATGAAGACATACATTCATATTATTGTGTGGTGCGTGTGCGTCTGTGTGTGTGTGCACACGCATGCATCTGTATTTCTGGAGCTGTAAAAATGCAAGTAGTAGAATAAAAGAATGTGGTCATCAAAAAAAGAGATAATATTTAGGGAAAAGAAAAGACTATCACAACAATTGATACTTGTTACTTAGTTGTTTTATTAACAACTACCACATTGGTAATTTTCTGTTTTCTAGATACTTCATTTGTCATTATTTTTTATCAGTATAGAATATTTTCAGAGAAAATTTAACTTGCATCGTTAAGTCATCTCTATAAATTTTTTATCCTGAATATGTTGCAGAAAAAAAGATTTCTAATTTTCTTCATCCTATTACTATGGAATATATATATATATATATATATATATATATATATATATTTATTTATTTTAGTCAGGTCTATATTTTATGAAATTTGGACTAATATCTTTTCTTCCAGTAGCTGCTGAATTCAGTAAAATATGCAAACCTAATTCTCTTAATGAATAAATAACCTTATATATAGCTTTTGTTTCCCTTTCCTCTTTAATTCTCTGTTAAAAAAAAATACAGGAAATTAAGCATCTCAGACCACTACTTTCCGATTGCATTAAGGGTGTTTTTCAGTTCATTAAATCAGGAAAACATAGAAATGATGTTGAAAATTCATCTGTAAAGGACTTTATGCCTCAGGGTCTATGAGCAGTGGATGGCCTTACACAATAGAATGAGTGATGGGCTTCCTCTCAGCCCTAATTCTCTGTTTTCATGGATATGTAACTTTAATTGTAATAGTCTCTATCACAGCTAAGGAGAGGTTTTGGTTTAATATTTTATTATATTGTAATTGAGTAGCATTTCTGGTTTTCTCTTGGCTCATGATTATAATGAACTAAATACATGTCTGCCTATTGCAGTGTTCTTTTCAGGAAATGGTGATGCTCACCATGTGACTTGAAGTTAATATAAATGAATAATCCAATCACCTTGCTTCTCACTTGGCTGCATTAATGTCTATTATTTAATATGCTTGGGTTAGCATTTTTAAATGTGTTCATTTCTCTATATGTGGCTTCTTCTGTTTATAGTCAATATATATGTTGTCGGGTCTGTTTGAAATTTCTTATGGTACTAAGGAGTTCTGGGTTTGTGACTGGATTTTGTAGAAACCAAAATAGGGAAGGTCACCAGAAGGCCAGTGGCTCTTCATTGCCCTTCTGGGTTAAGTATGTTGTACCTGTTGTAATAGATCATCTACGTAGGAGAGCCAGAGAATTTGATAGCACTGAAATGCACCATGTCTGATTGGTAAATTCAGTTCCCATTGGTATCTGGGAGTAATGTTTCTCCAAAAATAAATAACCAAAACTACCTCTACCTCCACCAAAACACAGTGTTTAGAAGAGTCACATTATCTAGAATCAGCAAATATCTTGAGACAGAAAAGGGATATAAGTCATTTTTGGTTCATCTAAATATGTGAGATAGATAATTTTAGATCACCTCAAAAGAAATACATTGGATTCTGCCATCATAGAATGTCAAAAATACATATTTAGCTAAAATAAGGACGTGATTAGAACAGTTCATTCTTAGAACATGAATTTTTTAAGGACTCTGACTCTTTGGAGAAAACAACAAACATTGAATATATTATGCAAAATTTTAATTAATATTTTTGTCCAAGAACATATTACTAACACTAGTTGCAAAAATATGGGAATGTGGGGCTAGGGATATAGCTTAGTTGGTAGAGTACTTGCTTCACATACACAAGGCCCTAGGTTCAATAGCCAGCACCACAAAAAAAAAAAAAAAAAAAAAAGGAATGTTTTTCTTTACCAAATAAGTATCATCAGCCTACTATTTGTTAGATTTTATTCAAGTGATTTTTAAAATTAGGACTGTTCCTAGCTTCAGTGTTTTGCTGTTGTTGTTCCTGTTGATAATTAATATTCACTGATGAGTCTGGCTCTGTTGTTTCTTTCCCAGGTCGCCGACATTTTCATGCATCTCAGTGCCCGAGGCCCACAAGTCCTGTGTCTACAGACAGCAACATGAGTGCTGCGGTCATGCAGAAAGCCAGACCAGCCAAGAAACAAAAACACCAGCCAGGACATCTGCGCAGAGAAGCCTACACAGATGGTAAGTCCACTGAAAAGCACCTATGAATCCCGCCTGTTTACCCTGCCTCTCTGGGATCAGTGAATGGGTTCACTAACATTAGAAATTACATTAAAAATTCATTGATAGTAAGTGTCACATTATGTACAGGAGTGATCTACTTCCATAGCTTGTCAAGTTTCCTCTAGCCCTTATTGTTTTCTAATAAGTTGATTATTTAAGAAGAAGTGTATACCTTTAATATTTTGAAGTTTTCATTTTTCAAACAACTGGATGTGACTATAGTTGAAATAATGGCAGAGGATTGACTTTTGTCAGATTCCTCCAAAGTATCTCTATTTTTTTTTTCATTTTACTTTTTTTACAACATAACATTCAAACAGAAGACAATACATTTGTGTGAATATTAATTCTACCCACAGTGGTATCACACCCAGTTATTTTGTGCACCAAAAGGCAAATCAAATCATCTTCTTCATGCCTTCACATACGATATCGACTCTCACTGAAGAGGGGCTGCTTGTATTCTCAAGGGAGCATGGGAGGAGAATGCAAACACTGTGATGTTGTCTAGAGAAAGACTTTAATGAAAGTGCCTCAGGTGGCCCAGCATTTATTAAACCGCCACCTTCTCATTTTATAACACAACGCCACGGGCTTCGCTGGAAATGCATGTAAGATAAATTCTCTCCGACTCACCCACCTTGTCAAGTTTTCTAAATTTGCTAAAGGGGTGGGGGACAAAGGGTGTCACAGGCACAGTTTCCCCACCTCCTGGTCCTCTGCAACCACAATCTGATTAGGACTTTCATTACAAGTCAGCAATTTTTCAAAAAGGGCATCATTTGCCATTATCATATGAAAACCTAATATTATAGATCCTTATCCAAGGTTACGAGGAGGGTTTTCTGAGGTACTTCTCCCTGTGATTCCTGCCACTTGACAGAAAAATTTAATACAAAGCTCACAGCACGATGAGCACAAGTAATTTTGCAATGAGTGGCTGTCCGGGCTATTATCTGTACTTTATTCTGAGTACTTTCTCTCACTAGCATCTATCTGATATTAGACTACATTAAATACTGGCGTGACACAGCGCACCTGGGCCTCCTGGCTTCTGCCCAGGACTCTTTTGTCAGTGAAACTGAGCTGTCAGAATATTATCTGATTTCGAAGGGTTATTACAGTGGCTTTGTGCGTATTTGCCTCTGTGAGGGGACAAACACTAGGTGTAAATTCCCAAACTCTACCAGCCATTTTACATTTATGGGATCCCTGTAATGCCATTTTACAAGTTTTATGGCTGTTTTATCAATTTTTATTATCTAGAAGAGAGTGCTCCTAACTGGAAAACTGGCCAACATGGAGCCTGGATGTAAACACATCTAAATTGAATGCATAAGGGAAAATCTGCCTAAAGCAGATCTTTCCACCTCTTATTTATGTGTGTTTCTTTGGGAAACATGGCATTGAATAATGCCCCCTGAAAATGTTTTAAGTAATGCAAACATGCCAAGTTGAAAAATACAGCATTGTAGTTATGAATTACACTGTGCTTGAAAATTGTTATCTGTATTTGTTGTCCTCATTCCACAGTACTTATTTCAGTGTGTTTAATAATTAAATGTAAATTCTAACTAATCCCTGAATAATAACTTAAATTGAATGATGAAGCACACAGGTTATTTTTTTTTTAAATTTAATTTCAGGAATACCAAAGAACTATATTGAAACATGTGTAAAGCCAAAAAGTTAATCTGAAACATTATTTGGATTTCTAATTGCTTATTTCACAAAAGTGATTATGCAAAATTATCATAGTACATACTTTAATATAGAAGCTAATAATTATTTTCTTTAGGTAACAAAATTAGATCAAATGGAGAAATAACTAAAACTGTTTTTAAATTATATATTTAACTTCCCTTCAACATTTTGCTAAGTTATGCTTATTATACTAATATTTCTTGAATTTAATTCAGCATGTTTACTGGTGGGTAGGAGAAAAAGTAATAAAGCTATATTTTATACATATCCTAGCATGCACATCAATTAATTAAAACCACAAAAATGCAGATATTTCTTAATGCATCAAATAAAAGAAATTCATGTATCCCCATACTCCATAATGCTAGAGATTGAACCCAGGGCTTCAGATGAGTGGGGCAAGGAGTCTACCACTGAGCTACCTACCCTGCTGAAATGTACATAGTCTTGATGGCTATGGATATGACAGAGAGAAAAGTCATTTTCTCACAAATTCTTTTATCAACTTACTACATTATATTTTTTAAACACAAACCATTCCACAATGAAGCTCAAAGCAGACAAAATTTGTATAATAATTTAAAAGGAGAAGTCGGGAGGAGATAGAATTTAAAAAGCTAACAAATGTTAAAATGTGAATTCCACATATCAGTAAGATATGGAAGGTTTGTTGGCTTTTCTTTTTTCTGAATGTAATGCATAGACTGATGGATGAGCTTGATTGTAGTTTATAGATTTTTGTCCACTGTCTAGAACATGATGTATTAGTTTTGCATTTGTAGCTCTTTTACTTTGTAAATTTAGTTCAAATTCTGTATTCCCTTGGTAGAATTTTTGTAAACTCTATGAAGAAGAATAAAGAGTAACTTTGAACTGAGAGAGTGATCTGGAATGAGTCTTCTCAGTCCCCATATTAGTTGCTAAGGCTGCCATAACAATCTACCAAAGATTGGGTGACTTAAACAACAGACATTTCTTTCCTGAGCTCTAGAGGTTAGAAAATCACTAAGAAGGTGACAGCAGGGTTGGTGTCTTGGGAAGCCTCTCTGGCTTCAAGATGATGGTCTTGTCTCTGTGTCTTACATAATCTTCCAACTGCGTGTATCTGTGTCCTTATCTCCACTTCTTAGAAGGCCATTGGTTAGATGAAAACTCACACCAGAGAATTCATTTTAATAACTTCTCTAGAGACTCCAAATACAGTCACATTCTGAGGTATGGGGAGTTAGGACTTTTTTTTTTTTTTTTTTTTTTTTTTTTTATTGTTGGCTGTTCAAAACATTACATAGTTCTTGATATATCATATTTCACAATTTGATTCAAGTGGGTTATGAGCTCAAGTTAGGACTTTTTGATATGAATTTTAGGGGGACATATTCTGGTCCCTAAGATTCTACCAGCCCCTCCAGAATGCTTGCATTGTGGGACTGCTGAATGCAAGGCATCGTGCTTCACACCACAGTCAGACTGACAGGCAGCATCTGATTATTTATTTATTTCATATTTGCCACGTTCAAGTTTAACCCAGATGGAGGATAGGATTAAAATATATGAATATTTATCAGCTGAAGTCTTATGGAGTTAAAGCCAAGCACAAGTGCATTTCTAGGACCTTCTAATAGATTCTTCCCACCCCCTCTTTTCAACCTTTCCAATACATTTACATACTTGATTTAAAAACCAAATCTATGTTATTTCTCTAGCTCTACTTTTCATAAATTATAAATTTGCCACACTCTTTGGAATGATGTTATTTTGACTTGATTTATCATTAATTACAAGGTCTTGGGACTTTAAGCAGTTAAGTAAATAGGCTGCCGAATCTCTATAGTGAGTTAATGCTGTGCTGGCAGAATTGTCTGCATACACATGTTCTTATATATTTCTGTACATGCTATATAATTTGTTATTTAGAGTCTTGTGTAAGAAGTGAGTTAATATTCTTATATAAAGAAAGAATACACACACATACACACACACACATGTAAATCAGGTCCATAATTCCAGTTCTTAAACCCAATTTGAACTACTTTATGACATGAATTACGTGAAAAAACTATTTCACATAGGTGTATTGTTTACACGTGATTATGCCTGGTTTGAGTTTATAATCATTTTATAATCCTAAATAATTTCTCGGGCAAACGTGTTTATATGAGAAATTAAACCTGCTAGTATTCCTCTATAATTGTCAATTAAACACAGTGACGATTATATACAGGAAGTTGGAATCTTTAAATCATCACTGAGTTCTACTTTTGACCTGTGTTACAGACAGCACCTAATGGAACATGTGGTAATAGGTTTTGTCTTAAGAGTTATATGTTCCCAAGACTTTGTATGATCTTGTGTTAGTGGTAATTGTTAGCTTTGATAGCTGATAAACACAGATACTTTTTGATTTGATGGTAGTGGCTTTTATTCATCTGCTTCCTGATAACCTGAGTTTATAACCTGGTTTATGTTTACAGTAAATAGAGAGTAGAGAAATGCATCTACAGTCTGGGTATGCTCTGAATGAGGATTTTTCCCTTCCTCTTGTTTTTAGTCCCAGGTTCAATGTGAACTTAGAAGCACTCTGCCTTGGGTCTCCTGCCTTTAGGCCCTTCGTTATGGTCTGGTTTTTAACTCTTTCTGTTAACTTGATCAACAAGTAGCAGATGAGGGAGGACTTACACATCTAGTACTTATTTTTAAGTAATATTTTTGAAAAATCCACTGAAATAATGGACAAAGGAAGTAATTCATGTACTAGTAACAATGGCAATCCAATTGCAAGACAGAATACTTAGAATTTTAACATCAGAGGGAAATTAGTACTGTTGGCTCTACTTTGGCCACCCTATTAACTAATATGTTGAGCCTATTGATATGACACTTGAACATGTTAAGCCCCTGAAGGCCAACAACAAGAAACTGAAATTAAAACTTTGATCACTTTTTATAATGGGTTCTCAAGTACAGCAGCTGGTACTAAAAAAAATGTGAGTTCAAGCTGCTTCTTTCAAAGACCAGTGCCATGAATCCTAATGCCTTAAGCTTTAGCCTATAATGTCAAGAGAAAATTAGTTAAGAAAATCTTACAATTTTTTTAGGAAAAAAGAAAGCGTTCATTCATTGTTTTTAAATACAAGAATAGACTCCTAGATTAAAACTGATGCTTTCTAGGTCCTTCAATATACTATAGTAAAAATCTTCAAGTCACAATTTTAACATTTAAGTTTCTCATGTTGGTACATGTAAATGATAGTTGGTAGAACATTGTCAGTAATAATAAAATAACTGGAAATAGCCTACATATTCCTCTGAAGTCATTGGCTACATAAATTATATATTAATAGAACAAATTGTTATGAAAACTTCTCAAAAAAGTATATATTTATAAAAATGTATATGATAACATGTTTAAAAGAAAAAAGTAAAATCCAATTCATGTTATTAAACACAGAAGGCTATATACTTGTGTCTGGTACTTTCTATCAGACTTGCCATCTGTAGATTATCAGATAAACACTATACATAATCTCAAGTGTGACCATTTTTGGTGGTCCTTGTCTATGAATGCTGCTTCTTTGAGTTTATGACTTGGCCACCCTGTTTTTTGTTGTTGTTGTTGTTTCTTTTTTTTTTTTTTTTAAATAAATCACAGCAGAATGCATTACAATTCTTATTACACATATACAGCACATTTTTCATATCTCTGGTTATATACAAAGTATATTCACACCAGTTCGTGTCTTCATACATGTACTTTGGATAATGATGTCTATCACATTCCACCATCCTTGCTAATCCCCTGCCCCCTCCTTTTCCCTCCTATGAGTTCCTCTATTCCTCCTATGCTCCCTCTCCCTACCCCACTATGAGTCACCCTCCTCATATGAGAGAAAACATTTGGCATTTGTTTTGGGGGATTAGCTAACTTCACTTAGCATTATCTTCTCCAATGCCATCCATTTACCTGCAAATGCCATGATTTTATTCTCTTTTATTGCTGAGTAAAATTCCATTGTGTATATATGCCACATTTTTTTATCTATTTATCCATTGAAGGACATCTAGGTTGACTCCACAGTTTAGCTATTGTGGATTGTGCTGCTAGAAACATTGATGTGGCTGTATCCCTGTAGTATACTGTTTTTAAGTCTTTTGGGTACAGACCGAGGAGAGGGTTAGCTGGGTCAAATGGTGGTTCCATTCCCAGTTTTCCAAGGAATCTCCATACTGCTTCCCATATTGGTCGCACCAAAAAGCTTCTGGTGAAGCTTTTTGGGTCTTCCAGGTATAGAATCACATACACCCACCAGCAATGTATGAGTGTACCTTTTCCCCCACATCCTCGCCAACACTTATTTTTGTCTGTCTTCATAATAGCTGCCATTTTGACTAGAGTGAGATGATATCTTAGAGTAGTTTTGATTTGCATTTCTATAATTATGAGAGATGATGAACATTTTTTCATATATTTGTTGATTGATTGTGTATCCTCTTCTGAGAAGTGTTTGTTCAGGTCCTTAGCCCATTTGTTGACTGGATTATTTGTTTTTTTGGTGCTTAGCTTTTTGAGTTCTTTATATACCCTAGAGATTAGTGCTCTATCTGATGTGTGAGGGGTAAAAATTTGCTCCCAGGATGTAGGCTCTCTGTTCACCTCACAGATTGTTTCTTTTGTTGAGATGAAACTTTTTAGTTTGATTCCATCCTACTTATTGATTCTTGGTTTTAATTCTTGTGCTATAGGAGTCTTATTAAGGAAGTTGGGGGCCTAATCCCACATGATGAAGATTAGGGCCTACTTTTTCTTCTATTAGATGCAAAGTCTCTGGTTTAATTCCTAGGTCCTTGATCCACTTTGAGTTGAGTTTTGTGCATGGTGAGAGATAGGGGTTTAATTTCATTTTGTTGCATATGGATTTCCAGTTTTCCCAGCACCATTTGTTGAAGATGCTATCTTTTCTCCAATGCATGTTTTTGGTACCTTTGTCTAATATAAGATAATTGTAATTTTGTGGGTTAGTCTCTGTGTCCTCTATTCTGTACCATTGGTCTATCAATCTGTTTTGGTGCCAGTACCATGCTGGTTTTGTTACTATTGCTCTGTAGTATAGTTTAAGGTCCGATGCCCCCTGCTTCACTCTTCCTGCTAAGGATTGCTTTAGCTATTCTGGGTCTCTTATTTTTAAGATGAATTTCATGATTGCTTTTTCTATTTCTATGAGGAATGCCATTGTGATTTTGATCAAAATTGCATTAAATCTGTATAGTGCTTTTGGTAGTATGGTCATTTTGATAATATTAATTCTTCCTATCCAAGAGCAAGGTAGATCTTTCCATCTTCTAAGTTCTTCTTTGATTTCTTTCTTTAGGGTTCTGTAGTTTTCATTGTATAGATCTTTCACCTCTTTCATTAAGTTGTTTCCCAAGTATCTTATGTTTTTTTGAGGTTATTGTAAATGAGGTAGTTTTCCTCAATTCCTTTTCAGAGGCTTTATCACTGATATACAGAAATGCCTTAGATTTATGGGAGTTGATTTTATATCCTGCTACTTTGCTGAATTTATTTACTAGTTCTAAAAGTTTTCTGGTGGAGCTTTTTGGGTCTTCCAGGTATAGAATCACATCATCAGCAAATAGTGCTAATTTAAGTCTTCTTTTCCTATACATATCCCTTTAATTTCTTTTGTCTGTCTAATTGCTCTGGCCAGTGTTTCAAAAACTATGTTAAATAGAAGTGGTGAAAGAGGGCATCCCTGCCTTGTTCCAGTTTTTAGAGAGAATGAATTTTTCTCCATTTAGAATGATGTTGGCCTGAGGCTTAGCATAGATAGCCTTTACAATTTTGAGATATGTTCCTGTTATCCCTAGATTTTCTAGTGTTTTGAACATGTAAAGGTGCTGTGTTTTGGGGAATGTTCTATAGAAAATAGTTCAGATTGATTACTCTGAAAATTCAGCATTGGAGATTTGAAATGCAGATGGGGAGCCACTAAATGTTGTAATTTTAAATTTAAATCGATAAAAAATGTTTAAAATTTTTTACTATGTAAATGTATACTTTTTGTTTAAAATCTTATAGTACTAAATATTTAAGAAATGTTTTATGAATACTTTTTAGGCTATTTATTGTAGACATCTCTAAAGACATGACTGAAAACATAACTATGTTGTTAATTCCCAAATCTCTGTTTCTCTGGTTTTGACACTCTTGAAATTCAGATTTTATATGCCTTTACTTATCCTACATCTCTATCTGGCTACCTCTAAAGCTCCTCCCATTCACTTTTCTAAAACTGAGCTCACACTCTTTCTTTATAACATCATTCTTCTTTCCTTATTCCTACATTCCATACCTTTGGTAATGTTTTTCTTATCTACTTAACCATCTATGGCTAAAATCCTAAAAGTCATCTTACGTTCCCTTCACCCACACCCCCATGCTATATTCCATTGATCATTAGGTGATATTGCTTTTCCTTCCTCAGTGTCTCAAGATGCCCTTCATTTGAACAACCACCAACATTGTTCCATTTTCTGTCATTACTTATATGAGCAATCGTAATAACCTCATGGCCTCCCAAAGTGAAATTTTTTCTAATTTTAATCCATCCTTCATACCATAGCTCAAACAATCTAACTTGCAAAATCTGTTCATATTCCTCTACTAATTTATCAAATATTATTAAGACATATCTATCTTTTCTCCCTGGAATGTTTGTATGATTCATTTTAAAAGGGTGTACTGGCTGGTGTTGGTGGCACACGCCTGTAATCTCAGTGTGTCTGGAGGCCGGGGCAGGAGGATCATGAATTCAAAGCCAGCCTCAACAAAAGCAATGTGCTCAGCAACTCAGTGAGACCCTTTCTCTAAATAAAATACAAAATAGGGCTGGGGTTGTGGCTCAGTGGTTGAGTGCCCCTGAGTTCAATCCCCAGTAACAAAAATAAAAAATAAATAAAAGAGTGTACTGTTTAAATAAAACAAATATTTTCTAGTTATCAAATGTTATGCCTACTTTCATTCTTGTATATGTCTACAATGTAAGAAATTAAATTAATTTATTATTTATATTATTTAAATATAGTTATAAGTATATATATATATATATATATATATACACAACATATATATGAAGAAATTAATCTGTATTTATATTAGTACTTATGTGGCTTAAAACTCGCAGATCTATACAGAAGGGAGAGAGTCCATCAATGGATGTGAGATTATAAACGTGATTAAATGAAGAAGCATAAAGAACACTAAACCAGAAATTTAGAATACAAAGGCATTAGTCCTGATTCTGTCATATCCTGCTTTTGAGATTGGAATTAGCTTTAAAACTATCTAGAGCTTTCTTGTCTACAAAATGAGAAGGGATTTAGGCTGGATTGGACAATGACCAGTAAGTCTCAACTGAAGTGCCAAGTTCACTCAATCTGGTGTGGTTATCTGAGGGTGTGAGAGCATGTATCTGGGATCAACAATATTATGCTGAAATCAATCAGGAAGTCTTGCCCTAAATGGAGTAGGGGAAACTCCAGTGCCTGTGCTCAGTACTGTTTGTCCCAGAAGATAATCTCTACATCCCAATACTGTCATTCAGTAGTCCCTTGCTAGACAATGAGAGAACATTGAATTTGGCAGTTGTCTTATTCATTGGCTGTCTTCAGTTGGTTCCTTTAAGATACAATATTTCATGGTTGAATGTGACTCCAGTAATATTTGATTATTTTCTAAGTGGCAAACTTCTTAAAATATTTTAAATATTTCTTTTTAGATCTTCCACCTCCCCCGGTGCCACCACCTGCTATAAAATCACCTACTGTCCAATCCAAGGCACAGCTGGAGGTACGACCTGTAATGGTGCCAAAACTCCCTTCTGCAGAAACCAGAACAGACAGATCGTCAGATCGAAAAGGAGGCAGTTACAAGGGGAGAGAAGTATTGGACGGAAGGCAGGTTGCTGACCTGCGAACAAACCCGGGTGATCCCAGAGAAGCACAGGAACAGCAAAATGATGGGAAAGGACGAGGAAACAAGGCAGCAAAGCGAGACCTTCCACCAGCAAAGACTCATCTCATCCAAGGTACTGATTTACTCATGCATAGAAAACACAGATGAGCAGGTGTTTGCAAGGCACACAGGCTACCTAGGGCTATATGAAGAGAGGTAAGATCAAGAAGTTCGCTCCTTATCATGGAGCCAGGCATGTACCCTGGCTTCTGTAAATCACACAATTATCACCTCTGTGTCCTTGGCTCTGAAATTCATTCTACCCACAACTTTTCTCCTGATCTTTAAAACCAATCATCTTCATTCTTATTGATTTTCTTTATATCTGTGTTCTTGTCAGCATCCTAATTCAAGCTGGAAATTATTTTCTCCATGAAATCTAAAGCTAAAGAATGATTTCAACAGGTTCCACAGGTGAAACAGGATATCAGATAGAGAAAATAGGCCGAACAAAACCATGAAATTGTGAAAATGAATGTTTGATGAACAGTGGTTTCCAGTTTGGTTGAAGAATAGGATGCTTAAGGCCAGGGGATAAATGGAAAATGGTAAAAATAGAAAAGGTAATTAGATTGGAAAGGCCAGAGATACTCTTCAAAAGAGTTTGGGATTTATGATGTAGGATATAGTGAGCCAATAAAGAATTTTGAGTGAGAAATAGCAATCAGATTTGACTTTAGCAAAATAACTACCTGGGCTGTATGGCACAGAAAGAGACTGGAACCAGGTGGAATAGTGCAGTGATAATCCAGGCATAAAATGTGAAACCACTGAATTAAAATGGATTGAATGAAAAGGAGAAAACAGCCTACATCTGCATTTCAGAGATGGGCCCAATAGGACTTGATGACTCATCAGATGTCAGAATGTAAATTGAAGTAATCCAGTTAAAGACAATTATCCAAATGTTGATTAGGTGGCCCTGTCTGACTTGTAATATAATTGAGCACAATTATATTAACCAATATAGAAAAAAGAAGAAAAAATAATTTTCATGGGGAAAATAAATTTAGTCTTAAATGAAGATGCTGACAAGAGCAGATAGATATAAACAAAATCAATAAGAAAGTAGAAGATTGTTTTTAAAGATCAGGAGGAAGGTTGTGGGTAGAGTAGATTTTGGAACCAAGGACACAGAGGTGATAATTGTGATTTACAAAAGCTGAATATCAGCGGTGATATGCTGGTAAATGGTTAGCCATCAGTTCTCAGGGAGAAAAAAACCTCAAGACTAATTTGTAGCATTCTGTTAACTTTGTTTTTAATCTACTTAGAGGAGATTGGTGAATGTGGAAATAGGAAGAGACGAGTACAATAGTTTCTAGTGAGATGTCCCAAAGTGTCACCACCAGCCACAGAAGATTATAATTAGAGAACAGGCAGAGAATCCATGCTCTGTAAAGGAAACTGAGATTGTCCTGTCTACAGATAATAATCAAAATTATCCAGGGTTTTGAACATAGTGTGCTCATGTTGGGGTGTGGCTCAGGGGTAGGGAGCTTGCTAACACGTATGAGAGGCTTTGAGTTGACCCTCAGCATTGCCCACCCCCCAAAAAAATAACCTGGAAATAATGGAGGAGGAAAGGATTTTTGTAATACATCACCCATGAGTACTAGTAGTATTAAAACAAACAAAACTCTTCAGTGCAGTATGCAAAATAGAAGCCAGAATTCAGAGGATTGAAAAGTGAATGGAAATTTGGAAAGGGAGGTGTTGGCAAAACCTCTTCCCAGAAAGTTGGGTTGAAGAGGAGGAAGGGCTGCAGTAGGGTTGGCAGGAAAGTCAAATTGGTGGAAATGTTTGAGGACGAGAGATTTGAACATGTACTTTATAAATAAGGAGAAGAAACCATTTAAGAGGAAGAGATTCTAGAATAAAATTCGCTTGATGGAGGAGTCAGGAAAGAGAGAGGGTAGTAGACAGGAAAGCTAAGGGTACTTCCCTATAGAGATTATGTCGTGGTAAGCTCTGACATCAGTCTGTTGCTCTGTCCACTGTGGGCATCTGGGTAGTCGTGAACTTCCCTTCAACATGGAGGGCAGTTTGGCTTTTTTCAGGGACTGAAGTCTGGACTCCTACTGCAGGTGTGCACTCAGTAGTGAGGTGGAGAGTTCTGCTTTGCTCTTCAGTCACCTCCACTCTGGGACCACAAACCCCTGGAGAGGACACCACAACCCAAAGTTTCAGTAATGTGCTTGCTTATTTTTAAATCAATTAAGTTGGAGTGGATCTGGACCTAGCTTTTGGCTCATGGTGACAGTGCTCCAAGTACTGATTCATCAATAAAAAGTCACGATGTAAGTTATGAATTTTATATCTTGCCAGAAAGTGTAGACCAATTTCCTGCTCAGAGCAATCTCTCTCTCCAAAGTAGGTGGGATTCCTCAGGAGGAAACTTTACAAGCCTGGTAAGAATCTTGGTGTCACAAAATTGGGACAAAGAAAGAAATTTAAACATTGATCTTCAGAAATTTAATGAGTGAACTAATACTGGAACCATTAACCTTTTTTTTTAGATATATATGTATATTTTTTAGTTGTAGTTGGACACAAAACCTTTATTTTATTTATTTATTTTTATTTATTTTTATGTGGTGCTGAGGATAGAACCCAGCACCTCACACGCGTTAGGCGAGCCTTCTACCGCTGAGCTCTACCCCAGCTCTGGAACCATTAATCTTGAAACAAGAAATTCTTTCTGTTTCATGAGAAGTATTGAGTATACTGCTTTTCAGAATTTTTTTTTTGAACCATGGCCCTCTGTATGTGTCATTAGATTATCATTTCTATGCTTGCTGTAATTTTCACCTTCATAATTCAACTTACATTATTTATAATGAAAGAGGCACGCTGATTTACATGTGTAATGTATGGTACTTTTTAATTAAGAAGAGTGGTCTTTGAGTCTTGAACATCTGATCTTTTTGCTGGCATTTACCTCTGTTAGTTCAATTTATTTCTGCATCTATCAAATGCCCACTGTGCTATTAATTATTGTACTAAGTCCTAAGATTTGTGTAAGCATGAACCTTGACCCTAAGGAACTGAAGTCAGAAAGAGAGAGACAGATAATCTATAAATTCACGGATATTTTTTATTTAATTTTTAAATTTCTGCAGCCTCCCTAGGGCCATCATTGCTGGCCATTGAGCCTCTAGGCAGCCCTAAAGTCTCAGCCAAATGAATATTTTTATTTTATATTCAGTATACTTTTCATGGTATTATGCTACTTGAAAGTCTGAAACAGGGACAATTAGCTCACTGTTGTGGGAGACGGAAGGTTAGTAAAGAACTATTCAACTGACATGTAAACTGAGTGTTTGAGCATGGGTAGGATTTAGCCAGGCAAGGAAAGTGGATTGTTCACGTGGAAAAGTCAGTGTTTAAAGCTGTATGGTCCATTGGGGAGATTGTAGGAAATTCAATCAATAAAAGTGCAAAGATGAAGCTCTTGAGGTGAAGAAGGCTTAAATCATAGGCGCCCATAGATCATATAAAGAGGAAGGATGTTGAGAGAAGCTGTAACAGCTGTAGAGGCAGAGATGTGTTAGAAGATGTGTACAACTCCCAGACAAGAGATGCAGAGAATTTAAACCAGGATATCGGAGAATTGATGAGTTACTGGGAAAATTCAAGAAACTCTTAGAGTCAAATCAACCTTAGTTGTTGTATGTTTAAATATATGGAGGAAGTACATTTAAGACATACAGGAAGGTTTTTGAAAGTGCAGAATGAATCTCAGATAATACAAATTTTCTACCTTGAATATCCTAATGATTAGTGATACCAGTAGTTGTACTAGAGAATAGAAAGGGGGATGAAATCTCAGGCAGATGGGCAGGATGAGATCATTGTCTGTATGCTGAGTCTGAGGAGGTGTTCAGTTAGGCTGGCTGTAGGGCCCAAAGATTCAGGACATAATTTGGGAGTCGAAAATATAAATGAATGTTACCTAATGATGAAAATAGCAGTTAAAGGTGCTCACTCATTCGGGCATTTGAAACTATTTATTAATGACCTATTATATGTCAAACGGGGAATATATCAATATGTGAAGCTGACAAAAATACCTGTCCTCATGGCAATTATATTCTGGAAAATGTTCAGTCTATAAAAGTGAGGGAAATCACCCAGGATGAATGGAAGAGATAGCATACTATGAATAAGAGGCACTGGGCTGACAGAAGAGAACTATGGGGTGCTGGCATGCAAGAGGCACTTCTTAAAATCAAAAACATTCTCCGGAAGATTGGTCAGGAAGGAAGGAGTACTGAACTAAGAGAATAGAAACATTTAAATGATAAGGGCAGTGAGAAGTCCAGAGATAAAGGAATGAAACTTGGTTAGCATTATCCATTTTTTGAGTTTTACAGTAGTAATGTGGGCATGAATAGATTTCAGGGGAGACGGAGTGAATGGGAGTTGTAACTACCAATACTGAGTCAAAATTGCTTTTCAAGAAGCTCAGCTGAGCAGTGAAGAAAGAAGGTATTGATTCCTATAGAAAAGAGAGTAAATCAAAGTTTTAGCAGAATATATTTTTTAATGTATTATACATACAGATATATCAGGTAAAACTGAAATCAATAGAAAGAAAAGGTTTCTGAAACAGGGACAGAGGGCGAAGGCCACAGGTGACCAAGTCTCCGAAGAGAGGTTGCCTGAGTGTTCATCCTCATGGACTGGGACACCCCCATGAGTCCCATCTGTGGATGAAGTAGAATGATAGATGGCTCAGACTTGGAGGAGGACAACGTTTTTGTGCGAGGTTGGAGGAGTGATCATTTAGAAGTGGTGCTGTGAGCCAGCGGCAAGTCTTCCAACCTGACCCTTCCTCTAGGAAGAGTACCAGTGGGCATGTCAGAAGAAGTGGGGTTTCTTCAGACAGTGTGGATGGCAGAGGAAGCATTTTGGGGTGGGGAGAAATATGTAGAAGAGATTGGTTTTGATGTCTTTCATGCTCAGAGGGTAGAGTGGACAGGATACAAAGAAATGTGAGCAATTGGATGGTGCATCTTCAATAAAAGTGGCAGTAAATTGAAAATAGTCTGGAGATAGAAATTCGGGTACTAGCTGGACATTGACTAGCGTGCCTTGTGTTTTAAAGTCAGCAACAATGACAGGCTTCTGAAGTCCAGAGTTCCATATTACTGAAGTGGGGTTGACTACCTCTGTGGCTGGGGAGTAAACCCAGGCTTGGCTCTGATTTAGTAGTTCTAGAAGACTGGGTTTCATTTCTGCTGCTACCTTTTAAGAACACTCTGTAGCTTACATGTATATTTCACTATCTTATCTGTTTTTATATCAACACCAGGAGCTTCTCTAAGTAGATTCTATTATCACTTTTTTGGAAAAAAAATGGAAACTAAAGCCTAAATAATGATCAGAGATCACATGGTGAATGACATAGAATTGGAAACCAAGTCGACTCCAGGTTTGGTTTACTTCCTTAAGTGTTATCAGTCCCAAGAGAATTCTGATGTGGATATAAGCTTAGGAGTGGAGTCAATCCAAATCTCCAGCCACTACTAGGAAAACAAGGCTTGCTACTTTTATTTTCAAAAGCCAGTGTGCATTATTCATTATGCTTTTATAGTGCCCTTATTTATTCTTTGCAATAACTGATGCTTCCCCATTCAGAATTATCGAGACAGGAGGGATGCTTTATACAATGAAAGTGCACAGTGGTGTTCACATGCATTTATTATATTCTGTTACACAGAGGATATTCTACCTTACTGTAGACCTACTTTTCCAACATCGAATAATCCCAGAGATCCCAGTTCCTCAAGCTCAATGTCATCAAGAGGATCAGGAAGCAGACAAAGAGAACAAGCAAATGTAGGTCGAAGAAATATTGCAGAAATGCAAGTACTTGGAGGATATGAAAGAGGAGAAGATAATAATGAAGAATTAGAGGTATCTCTATTTTGTTCCCAATTTTTTTCCTCATTAGACTGTAGTTAATATGTCAACCTCAAAATTAGGAATATCCATCAGTGTGCAGAAACATTACTATTTTTGTTACACACTTCTCTATACCCTAATGTTTGTGATGTCAGAAACCGACATTCTGAGCATATAAGGATTTTCTTGAAATGTATTTTATAATTTTAAATGTCAGTAGTAGTTTCTTTGAAAATATTTTCAAATAAGAAATATACATGGCAAAGATAATGCTGGGAAATAAGAATTATAGATCTAGATATACTGTAATTCCTAGTGTTATATGAAAACTCAGTGAGGTGGTGGAGTTTTATAATGTGAGAGTGTATAGCCCATGTTACCTGTCAGTCTAGCAATCACCAGGATCAATTTAGCTGATTTGGACACACAACTTTATATATATATATATTATGTATATATTTTAGTTGTAGATGGGAAACAATATCCTCATTTATTTATTTCTTTATTTTTATGTGGTGCTGAGGATCGAACCCAGCGCCTTACCCATTTGAGGCAAGTGCTTTACCACTGAGCCACAGCCCCAGCCCTGGACAATATCTTCCACCTTCACTCTTTTAAATATTCAAATATTTCCTCCCTTATTGGAATCTATAAATTATGATGCATGATAGAATTGCAAGTCATGTCATATTATAAAATCCCCTCCCTTTTAAAAATTATTGTTTTCTACATTTAATAAAAAATCAGCACAGAATAAATTTTTTTTATTACAAATATATTTAGCCTCAAATAGATGGTGAGGATTAAACTATAACTTCATAATAAATGAAGAAAATATTAGAACCAATCATGTCTAATTGAATGCTGTCTAAAGCCAAATGTATTTTGATTTTGAAGTTTGGAAAAAGTCTTTCCTGCTGCAAATGCTTCGGAGAGATTTTTTTGTCAAATTTGCCTTTTTTATGTAGGAAAACCCTGTTGGAGGATAAAAAATCATTATAGTTAATTCTAATATTTAAAGTCAACAAAGGAGAGTTCTAGGATTGAGTTGGGATGGAGAGGGATGGAGAACTCAGCATATTCCTTCTCCTTCAGAGCCCTGTGTTCTGCCCCCACAACACTGAGGCACAGTGCAAAACAGTTGGGTGCTTGTTAGAGAACTGTTGGATTTGCTATCAGGACAACTAAAGTTGATAGATGAATTAGTTGTCATGAGCACTTTTCAACTTAAGCCAGTGAATGGAGTGAAAAAAAACAAAAAACAAAAAACATTAGACTGTAAGAATAAATGCCTAAAAAACAAGACGAGTCAATACTCTTGTGATTTATCTTCAAGTTTAACAATACTGCCTCTTTTACAGGAAACTGAAAGCTGAAGACAACCAGAGAGGCTTGTGCGATCTAATGTGAAAATTATCAGTCAAGATGCCTCATGTCTGATGACACATGACGCCAGATAAAATGTTCAGTGCAATCAGAATGTACAAATTGTCGTTTTTATTCCTCGTATTGGGGTACCATTTAAAAAAAAAAGTTATTGGGTTTTTATTGTTGCTCTTTGATCCCTAACCCTAGGAAGAACCTTTCTCTTCCCCTCGCTGTTGGAACCATTTCTCTTGACTTCCAACAAGAAAAGTGTATCAACTTCTTGCTTCAGTCATCAGCCTCAAGAAAGAACCAAACAGTTCTTTTGCATTTTGCCCCTGAGATATGGCATTGCACTGCTTATATACCAAGCTAACTTATAGCAAAATATTGATTGAAGATACAAACTTGATTTATCAACCTCATGCCAAGGGCTCTCAAAGTATAATCTTTCTATAACCGACTGCTAATGCAAATCAAAGCATATTTCATTTTAACATGATTTTAAAATCAGTCTTTCATACCACCCTTTGTGGGGAGAAACTAAAAATATAGCAAATGCAGAACAACAAACAATTCGAACGGGGTAAAAACATTGTAAATATATACTCTTTGCAACCCCTGGTGGTACTTTATTTTGTCTTCATTTCAACCATGGAAGTATATTCTTATTGGAAATGTACTTTTTGATAAGGAGGGCTAAGCCAGTTGCATCTCTGGTTGTCTAGTCATTGTCATAAGGACGCCTAGCAAAAAAAATCTTGTTCTATTTTTCAATCAAGAAGCAATTATAAATGCACATTACAAACAAATGGATGCCTTTAATGACCAATCGAGTAAAGACATCCTATCTTAACTGGCCTAAATTTCTTCTGGTAGTGTCAGTTCAGCTTTCAGAAGTGCCACTTAAGGAAGTTTATTTGATTTTTGTTTTTGTAATGCACTGTTTTTAATCTTTTTTTTTTTTTTTTGGTTTTAAAAGCACAATCACTAAACTTTATTTGTAAACCATTGTAACTATTAACCTTTTTTGTCTTATTGAAAAAAAAAATGTTGAGAAGCGTTTTTAACCTGTTTTGTTAATGCTCTATGTTTGTATTTGGAATATTTGAATGATAAGAGATGGTGGAGTCACGTGCATACTTTATCGTGGGCCATGAACTAGAGGGTTCTTACTTTCCTAGATTTAAAGAAAAAAATGGTTTAAGTTTGTTGTGGCCAATGTAGAATCCTACAAGCTTTCCTTATAAGCTCAAATAGGGCATTACTGCTTTGAATTGCCAAACGATGCCCTCTGACTGTAGATTTTTATGATCTTTTTTTGTCATTATATGAATTTCATTGACTTTATAATTGGTGCTATTTGAAGAAAAAAAAATGTACATTTATTCATACACAGGTATCAGGCCTGACCCCACTGGAAAAACAAAGCCAAACAAAACTGAACCACAAACAATGGCTGGTGTTCACCAAAAATGAAAAGTGCTCACTTAGATTATTTGAGAAAGTTTCATAGAAAGCGTGTGCAGTACTAAGGGAACAACCCATGTGATTAATGTTTTCATTATGTTCATGTAAGAAGCCTCTTATTTTTAGCCATAATTTTGCATACTGAAAATCCAATAATCAGAAAAGTAATTTTGTCACATTATTTATTAAAAATGTTCTCAAATACATCATTCTTTCTTGTGTTGATTTTTTTTCCATTGTGTGCTGATCAAATTTACTTCATTTAATCACAAAGTCGTTTTGTCTGAACATTTCACCACTATATTATCAAAAGAGTAAAAATTCTCAATTAGTTTTATGGGCATCCAGGTTTTACTTATAAGGAAAAATTCCCATTTAATTCCTCTGACATGAAAAATGTGAGATGAATCTGAGCTTGAAGTTAGTTATTTGGTAAAAGAGTAACTCTTAAGGGTTTGCTGTATTTGTTTATGTATGTGCATCTGAATTTCAGTAACCCTATTTCAAAAATAATCAGAATTCAACTATGATAAACCTGATTTGTAAAGTTTGAACTGCCTACATTCTGTCGACCAAAAGAATCCAAATTGCTCATTAGTAACTGTCTTCCTTCTTGTTACAAATTCATGTGACATTTTTAGAAAACATATACCAGGTTGCACATTATGATACGGTAAAGTCAGCATTTTTAAGCATTCAACTTTGGATGGATGAGATGGGTATCATGTCTTGGAAATGATAAGAGCAAAAGAAACTGTTGAAGGTTCTTTTGCTATGACATATATATTGTTCTCCTACCTAAATTTTGTGTGTATCAGAATTTGAAAATCAGTAAAAAATTGAAAAAGCAGTGTAATTTGAAATTTAAATATGTGAAAATGACGTAATCACCAGCATCCATTTATAGATGAATAGGTCCACAGGTCAAGTCAGTTTCCAAGCTTTTTGAAGGAAAACAATGAAGAGGCATATTTAATGGCCTAAATTTTTCTTTTCCTTGATGGGTAGACTAGTTAAGACTTTCTTTTTTAATAGTATGCAATACACATGCAAATTATGTGTATCAAGGCCCTGAATTTGAGTCCCAGTTTTGTCTTGACTATGTTTCCTTGGACATGTTACTTAACCTCTAAGTCTCAGGTACCTCACCTGTAAATTCAGTAATACCTACCTCATGGAGCTATTGTCATGATTTAGTGAGTTAATGTATATGGTATGGACTTTGTAAACTCCACAAACAATACAAGATCTTATATTTATGGACTGAAATTCATTACACATGCAACCCCATTTTCATACATAGTTTGTTCTTAAATATTTGCATGAAAGTAAAAGAATAAGTGTGGTATAAGGATGAGGGTGGTCAGTTTCCGGTAAGTAAAATTCACTGTGAAATACCTAATTGTGGAATAAATTCTTGGTGTTATTGTTTGTCTGTTTGCTTCTGAATTCAAGGGCCATACAAGGGGCGGTGATAATGATGTTTTCGGCACTCTTTGCACAATTCAGGGCTGCAAACATGTCACTTAAGCTCTCCATATATAGATTTGGTATATCGGGCTGCTGTTCTGCCTAGAGGCAGAAAATGTAATCCTAATTCCAGAAGATTTAGGTCATATCTGGCTTGCTTTCATTTCAGATATAGTCTAATTTCCATCTTTGCAAGGTGGCATCTCAATCCAGCATCATCTTAGCGGCTCACCTCTCAACCATTACTTCTGGCAAAATGCCAGGGGCCATTCCGACTTGGCTGTGGCTCTCAACAGACTCCATGTGTAGAAAGCATGGGGAGGTGGGAGGCAGGGGGCTTGAGGTATTGCTGTTGCCAAAATTTCTGGTGATCTCCATTTGTTGAACCCTTGATGTGTAGCCTCTGATGTCCAGCCTTGATTTCCTTATCCATTGGCCCTCCCTAGACACTTCTGAGTCGTTTGAGATAGGTTGAGTGTAGCAAGCTGGGAGGAAAGTTTCTTACATTCTTCCATGCCATGTCGGGGATCCAGAGACCCAGGATTTAGAGATCTGGGGCTCTAGAGACTTGGGACTTCCTCAGAGCCTTTCAAGGTACTGCTATGCCTCCTCAACTGCATGCCACATTTGGGTAGTGTGTGGATTGGAGAAGAGGATGAGAGCTACCACTGCAGTTTGGAAAACACTAAAGTAAAATCATTTGCATTTTGAAGATAAATCTCTTTACATTAAAAATAGTTTGGAAGCCATTATCCTAACAAATCATTGTTGTATGTCTGAAACTGGAATGCATCCTACAGCTGCAGTATCTTAAACAATCACTTCAGCCAGGTGACGTTCATGATGTAGTTTTCACTGCTTGCCATTAAAAAAAATTATGTCTCATACAAACAGATAGTGAACATGTGTCAAACTTTTATTTGTCTCATTAACAAGGAAAACTGCAAGAAGACAAGAGCAGTTGAAGAGCAGGCAACTGCAGAAGGAACTTACATATGATTGCTTAGTTAACTTTCTTTAGGACAATACAAACATGATGTTATTATCTCTACTGGGCTAGAGAACCCTAACACCATTCTTTTTCTTTAGGCTAAATAACCACTACCCTCGGGGCTACATGAAGTCCTCACATTTATTATTTGCAAATTATTAATCAAAAAAAAATCCTTGGAGAATTTACAGTTACCCATAAGATGAGGAGGTCAGTGACTTACTCTAGTCCATGTTTCTCCAGAAACAGAATCTGAGACAAAGACTTGGATGTGAAGAATATATTTGGGATACAATCCCAGGAAGTGGAAGTGAGAGGTGAATAAAAGAAGAAAAAGTTCATGTAAGTCCTCGAAAGGATGTGAAAATACCTCCACTGGAGGGCTTCATTGGTTCTTCTGAGAAGAATTCAAAATGCCTCCCAGAACCTTGCACAGAAGGACAGGAACCTGGGTCATTATCATTTGGTTCCTGTTCTTTATTAGTTGCAGGTTGCTCATTGGGTAAGGGACCTAACTTCCCAACATTATAGTGAGTGGACCAAGTGGGAGCAGAAAAGATGAAGCAGAAAGAAGGCAGCATCTGGCAGGCATTTGAGCTGGGAAGTTGCCAAGAGGAGGTGAGTCTGAGCTCAAAGAGAAATGACAGCCACTGTGAGTCCTCAGTGGCAGCTCCTCTGAATAGGATTGTTAGAAAATATTTCAGCATGGTATCAAAAATCAAATAATCATCAGCTTACAATTTTCCAAATTTAAGGTAAATATTCTTTCATAATACCCTAAATGAAATTAGTCACAATTACTCAAATTACTTTCACAATTGGTGGAGTTATGACAAATTATCAATTGTTGGTATTATATGTGTTGAATTTTAAATGCCATTTAACCTTCTAAAAATTTTTACAGTATCAGCATTGAAATAAAACAAAATAAAGGATATGAAAACAGATACAAAGAGGATCCTTAGAAAAATAGCTACAACTTTCCATTTTCTGGGAAAGAGAAAAGCTTTACCATACCTAAGAAAAATAAGTGTTCACAATCATTAAAGTACTTCTAACACGTGTGCGCGCTCTCTCTCTCTCTCTCTCTCTCTCTCTCCCACACACACACACACACACACACACAGTGGACGAAGGCAGGCTAAATTACCAAATCCCTTGGAATAAAATGAAAGAAATACCAAGCAACGTTGAGGATGGCGTAACCAATTCATTTTTTGTCTAAGACTATCATTGAGGCATTGTATTGTAACAAAAGTTGGTAGTGTTTTCACAGAAGCTCATAAAACAAACCTGTTAATTTAATGGAGTATTAAATTTAATGAAATGTAACATTTATATGAGCTTATTCCCTTAAATTGCGCTCATAAAATTTGCATGAATTGGGTACTCGAGCAAACTTAATGTTTGTCTTCCCAAATGTTGAACTACTAATCTCCAATGTAATGGCATTATGAATTGGGGCCTTTGGGAACTAAAGAGGTCATGAGGGTGGAGCCTTCATGAATGAGACTGGTGTCCTTATAAAAGGGGACCCTGGAACACTCTTTCTTTTTTCTGCCATGATATAGGAGAAGTCAGTGCACCAAGACCTAGTAGACTTCCACCTTGATCTTGAACTTCTAGCCTCTAGAACTGTTAGATTTGTTATTTATCAAGCCACATTATTTATAGTAATTTGTTACAACAGGTTGAAAATATTAAGACAGGTCTTTGGCATAATCACCAGCTCTCTGTGCAAGTTAATCTTTGAGTTATTAAAAATTCTTTTGGGAGAAACTCTGAGGGTTTTGATTCTGAGTAAAACAGAACTTTCAGTGCTTCTAGGTCAAGTGATTTCTATAACTTTCTTAGTTCAGAAATTAACAAAAGTAACCTGGACAAGTGGGGCATTTTCTCTGACCTGCACTTCAGGGGTCTTCTACACTTTGGAGAGCCTTGTTTGGAACTTAAGTACTTCTCTGTTGCATGCAACTGGCCAGGGCAGGCAGTGTCATCAGAACTGAGTTTCAGAGCCTACATAGGGACCAATGTGCACCTTGGAGTTGACACCTGGTGGTTTCAGAATTAGAGTCTAGGGAGTCCTCCTGGGGCCCTGGAGCTGGCCCCCTGGTTCCAGGAAAGTAGTTTGTTGGTAGATTGCTCACACTGGCTGACTTACTTATTTTTCATAAAATTGAGTGGGGTTATGCTGCCAGAATAGCACTGTCATCTGATTTAGGATGACTTAAATTGTTACTATAGATAGGAGCCCTGTAGAAATATTTGCCCTGGCTGCCGGCTATAGCAACTCTAAACACAGGAAAGCGGCATAGTTTTAAACCAAATCTAATATAAACCTGAGTTTTATGTTAAATGCCTATTTAATATTCTACTTAGTGTTTTCCACAATAAGAAAGATTAGATAGTATATATTCAGCACATTATGTACCTGTCCTCTGTAGAGGACACTCATACATCATTTCTAAAATGAATCTTCCTTGTGTGTATGGGAATGAATGTTTATGTGTGTCTCTGTGATTTGGGTGGCAATGATAAAGTTAATGGTTCTTTACATACATTTTGCTTTTGAACTTACAAGAAAAAATTATGCAACATTTCAGTAAGGGCTTGGGAAGGGGAAACCATTCAGGATAGCTACTCTGGGGAATATCATAAGAAGTAAATTGTGAATAAGTGGATACCTGAAAAATTAAGTCATTATTATGTACCTGCTAGGATTTCAACATATAGTCAGACTGAATTT